TTTAATCCTCACGACAACCCTCTCAGGTAGGGACTATTCTTATCCCCATTTTACAGGGAGCTGAGGCTCAGAGAGGCCAAGGGGCTTACCCATGCTCACAGAGCCAGCCAAGGGCCGGCCGCAAGGCAGGTCTGTATCTGTGGCCTCATGAGTCAGACGATCCAACTGCTATTCCCATCATGTCTCTGCCTTTGCCTCCACTGGGCTCCTAAGCCAATTAGGCAGGGGTCCTGGCCTCCCTGAGTCGCCAGGGCCCAGCCCAGGGCCTGTCGCTGAGAAGATACCTCTGGATGTCAAATAAAAATGAGGATGGATTTATGGTGTCAGAAGACGCTCTGGAGCCAGATGAGCAGCCAGAGGCAAAAGAGGGGGGTGCTCTGTAAAGGTGGCAATGGGGCAGTGTGACAGGTGGGGATGAGACACCCATGCATGGACTACTTGAACTGCGCCACCATGGGACGGACACCTCCCCACCCAAACATGCATCATCCTCTTGCCCTGATGCCAGGCCCAGCCCCAGGGGCCTCCAAACTTGGCTGTAAGAGGGCCCCAAGGGGTCTTGTAACTAGGGAGCTGGCCCTGGAGGCCTCTGGGTTGCACGGGTTGTTCCTGCCTCAGTAGAGACCCTGACAACAAGTCCCAACAGAGCTCTCAAAGGAGAAGGGAGAGGGCACTTTCTCAGCCAGCAGTGAGTGTCACTGTGTTCTAGATCTCTGAGAACGGTTGGAGAGGCCTGGGTTCCATCTTGGGATGGGTTGGCTGTGTTACCTTGGGCAAGTTACTCAACCTCTCTGGGCCTCAGTCTTCTATCTGCTTAGGAGTATAAATTTGAGCAGTGTTTTTCCTGGTGAAGACTGCTCCTCCATCTGGGAGGCCTCACCCAATCCCCAGCAGCCTGAGCATGTCCTCAGGTGGGATGTTTCCATAAAGGCAGGGGCCAGGCCTAAGCGGAGCCCAGGCCACCCACAGAAGGGACCATATAGGCTTAGGAGATGCTGAAGCCAGCTGCCACCTGTTCCTCCAGACTGACAGCTTGGGAGCGGAGGCACAGTTGTGTTTTGAGCCTTGGGGACAGCAGGTGTGAATGGTCCCCAGCCTGGCCTCCCCCGGCCTCAGCTGTCCCATCTACAGAATGGGCAGAAGGCTGCTATAAGTTCCCCCAGCAGCAGAGGAAGAGGAGAATGGGAGACTCCAGCCCGTCAGAAAGGTAGCCCCCTCCCCTCTGCCCCCAGCCACGAGTCCAGGGGGGAATCTGGAAATTGCCGGGCAAGTGGCTAAATCATATCTCATCCGGTTGTGGGGACTGGGTGGAAAATCCAGGCTCTGGGCGAGGTCCTCGGTGGCGGTGGGGGTGGCAAATGACCCCCACGGAAGTTGTGGCCTCACAGGGGGACACCACTATGTGTGATTGAAGGTCACGTGGCCCAGGGTCACAGTATTCCTCCTCCATGTGGGCTCCGGACCTGTCGGGCTTCAAAGGGAACCTCACACACTGTGGGGAGCAATGAAAATAGCCCAGGGGTGGAGAGGTGAGGAGGCACCAGCTGAACAAACAGCAGCCCCCATGGGACCTGGCCTGGCCTCTCCCCTGTGGCTGAGCCTGTCACCTGGCTTTCCTCTACTGGCTGCAGGAGAGGCACAGGGACAGGGCATTTGCATGGCTGTGGGGTTCTGTGTGCACACCTGCTCATGCATGGACCTGCCCCGGCACACACCACAAGGCCTGTATTTCAGCATGGACACGCGTGGCACCAGCACTGTCTCACCCCACAAGGCAGGTTAAGAACATGATAGGACAGGGGTTAGCACACTGCAGTCCGCGGGCCGGCTGCCTTTCCCCTGCTTCTGTGCGGCTCCCAGCTGAGTGAGAACAGCCGCACTCATTCATTTACATACTGTTCATGGCCGCTTTTACGCTACAGTGGCCGTTGAACTGTTTCAGCGGAGACTGTAGGGCCCGCAGAGGCCAGGATTGTTACTCTCTGACCTTACCAGAAAGTCGGCCGGCTCCAGTGTTCAGGCACTAGCAAAGCTGAGCATGCTGCTCTAGCCCCTAAAGTCAAGTTCAACTTCAATGCGCTTATCGAGAATTCTACAATGACAGAATCTAGATAGAAGCTGTGTTCATTTCCGTACATCTATGCGAGCTTTGGGTTTTACAACTTTATATTGTTTTATGTGTGTGAGAGAGAGAGAGGTCTAAAATCTTTTTAAGGTTTAGGATCTCCCACTCATTTCTTGTGCATCCGTAGTATTCAGCACATGGTGGGTGATTAGTCAAGGTTTGTGGGGTAAAATAACAGGCTTGGTTCTCTCTATCAACCCAGCAACCTGGCAGCAAAGCGATGCTGTTGCCCATTTCACAGATGTGGAAACGGAGGCCCAGAGAGGTCATAACATCTGCCTGAGGGTCTTCCCTGGACCATCAACAGTGAGAACAAGACGTCCTGGGAGAAGTGGGGCATATCCTGTGACATGTCTGGTGGGGAGGCATCGTGCTCCTCCCTCCAGTAGTTTTCCATGCATTCTAGGCCCCCTGCCCACCCCATCGGTTCCCAGGCCTTCCTCCCGCGCTGGGGGTCTGGCAGGCTCCCAGGAGCCCATGAGGGGTGAGTGCGTTTCTTCCCTTTCCGGCCAGCAGGGGCAGGTGTGGAGTGAGCGGTTCCGGAGGGGGTGTGGGGAAATGACTGAGGATGAACTTCTGCGGTCCCAGAGAGGTGACACTGTGCCAGAGTGGCCACCGGGAGTAAGAGCTACTGAAAGGGGGAAAGAAGGGAGTTTGCGGAGCTAGGAACCCAAGTGGGGGTGCTGTAAAGGGAAAATGGCCCCTGAAAGGGGGGATCAAAGACAAATCGGCCTGTTAGGCAGCCTTGGGTGGGGCTGTCTCCGTTCTAAGGATCCCCTCCAGTACTAGCTCTGAATCTGCAGAACCGAACACCAAGCCGGTGAGGAGCCCATCTCCTCCTGCGGTCAGACCCCCGCCTTCCTGGAAAAGCCGGAGGGAGCAGAGAGGGGATCCCTAGCACTCCTCACTTCTCAAAGGGATGCTACCCCTCTGTAGGAATCGGCATGAGGCCTTGATGGCAACTTGCTCAAAATATTTAAAGCCCTCTTTGTGGGGCTTTAAACCACATCTTGTATCCAACCTCATCCTGTATCACCTTCCTCACATTTACGGCACACCAAACACAATGGATTTGAATATACTCTACTCCTTCCCACCACAGGGCCTTTGCACTGGCTGCTCCCTCTGCCTGGAACAGCCCCCCTCATTTATTCTTCAAACTTCCATTCTAGCATCCCTTCCTCAAATGAGCCTTCCAGGACAATCCCTAAAGCAGGTTCATTTCATATTCTCAGACCTGATTATCTGTGAGATGACGTGTTTGTTTGCTCCCTGGCTACACGGGGACCTCCAGCCTAGGTCATCTAGTGGAAAACCTCTACTCAGGACCCTGGCTGGCTACTCAGGACTTCTTGCAGTAGTCTAGTGCTTAGCACAGGGTTGGCTACACAGCAGGAAATCAATAAGCGATCGTATGAGGGCATGAATGAAGGCATGGCACCGCCAGCGGCTCAGGCAATGCCCGGAGTTATGGAAACATAGATGCACTGAGAAGTAACATCAAGAAGCCATGTGTTACGGGTTTGCCTGTGTTTCCACACTTGGCGACCACTCTATAGGCACTAAGCTGTGTTCTAGAGTAGAGTCCCCCACCAGAACTTTCTGCCATGATGGCTATGTTCTGGGTCCAGTGTGTCAGCCACGAGACACAGGTGGCTACTGAGCACTGGACATGTGGCTAGTAGGACCGAGGAACTGAATTTCCAATTTTATTTCATTTTAATTAATGTAAATGTAAATAGTCATGGGAGGTTTGTGGCTGCCGTATTGGACAGCCCAGCTCTGGAGAGAAGGGACGTGTCCTACTATCTCCAAGTCTGTCACCCACAGTTCTACCATCCAGGGATTCACAGGAAGCCCCCAAACCTCCATCAGCTGGTCCCTGGGGTCAAACATGACAAGGATTCTTTGGCAGCCTTTATGAAGCAGGGACCCACCGTCCCCCGCTGCCCACCAACTTGTCACAGAGACCACCAGGCAACAACGACGCAGGGAGATGGTGATGGCATGTCTCTGGAACAAAGATGCTGGGACTGGGCCTCTCCATTTTTATCACCATCATCACCTGTCATACGACCACCAAGAATGCCACCAACCTCCTTCTCTCCATCATCACCGCCCCATCTCACCAACCCTAAGACAACCACCAACACAGCCACGAGCACCTCCAGCACCAATTCCACAATCAACACTCCCACTGACATCACCACCGATACTACTTCCTCCGTCATTACCACCCTGCCCCTCCATCAACCTCACCAGCATCATACCACCTCAGCACCACCATCTGGAGCCAGGGCAGGACACCAGTTAAGAGCTTTGACTCTAGATTCAATGGCCTGGGCTTGAATCCCAGTTCTGAGTGTAAATGCCTTAGCTTCTGTGAGACTCAGTTGCTTCATCTGTAAAATGGGATGATGACGGCTACTACCGATACAACAAGACTTACTTCCTATGATGGTTGGGAAAAAATCAAATGGGGAAGTGCCTGGAACGTCCTTTTGCTATGATAATTGAGTGCTGGTGTTCTACGTTCTGTGCTCAGGGAGCACAATTTTATTTAATCCTTACACGGCGGTGAGAGCTATTAATCCATTCATTTTACAGATGAGGAAACTGAGTCTAAGCGGGGTGATGATGTAACTTGATGAAAGCCCTACTGAAGTCTTAAACTGGACTAGGCTAGGCTGTCCCTTTTGTGGGGAGGAGTGGGGATCAGCTGACTGGCCGTCTGACGGTCCAGCTCCCTCCTCAGGGATGCTGGGGGATTTCAGCATCCCACCAGAGAAGGTGGTGCTGAGGTAGTGATGCTGGTAGTGTCTGGGTCTCAGCCTGGCCCGACGGGTGGGGTGGGGTGGGTAGCGAGTCCACTCACCTGTGTCCTGGCGGAACTGGTGCATGGACTGCAGGTCGATGATGTACGGCACCAGCTGGGCATCCACCTGCCCCAGGACCACAGAACCGCGGGCATCTTCCTTGAGCACATTCTCGATGTGGTGGCACACAGTGGCCGTGTAAGGTCGCCAACGGTTGTGCTCATTCAGCCACTCCCACACCACCACTCGGGCCACATTCTGGGGTGGGAAGCCCAGCCCGCTCGCCGGCATCATGACACCCTGGCCTGGCCGTGACATGGCCGCCTCAGGGGCCACGGCCCCACTCTTGCTGGCCCAGCTCCTCCTGGGCCTGGGAGCAGGCAGGGGACTTCCTCTCTCCCCAGGGGAGCAGCAAAGGCTGTCTGGCCTCCTTTCTAACCCCCTGTCCTCTGTGAGGCCCAGAGACCTCAGTTAAATGAGAGTGGGTGGTGTTCCAGGCTCCAAGGACCCCTTCCCGCTCGCTGTCTCAGATAAAGGGTGCTTCTCTGGAAAGCAAGTGTCTTTCTTACGATGAGGGGAACGTTGCTCTACATTCCTTGGGTCCCTGACTCAGATAAGGGAGTGAGGCAGCGCCCTACTGTAGGTCCAGTCTCTTGCCTGCTGGTCTCCTGTCCTTCCCGGTCAGCGCAGGGCCTGTCACCCAGGAGGCCTGGCCCAGCCTGCTGCTCTCCGCAGCGCCCAGCCAGCCCTCTGCGCTCACGACCGCGTCCCAGACCCTGCGCCCGGCTCCAGTGGGGCTGCTTGCTTTGTCTGGGGTCCGCCCCCCCGACGGCTCCTGCTGACGGGGGTGTCCCTGTGCCCCTGGTCCCTGCCCCACGGAGTCCTGGAAGGCCTGGGTGGCTGAAGAATGCACGGGGGAGGGGTGCGACGCGGTTCCCTAGCCAGACGCCGGCCGGGCTGCGGCTCCTGAGCTGCTGCGCCGGGGACGAGGGGGGCGGGGGCCCGTGGGCACGCCCCACCCCACTCGTGCTCGCGACCTGCCGGGAGACAAGGAGAGAGGGCCCTTTAAGAATAGAGTGCGGCACCCCCTCCTCCTTCCCAGGAGAGCAATCGCCTGAGAACAATGGGGAACCGATGGGGGGGAGCAGCAAGGGGGCTCGGGGGTCGCCTCCCGTGTTCTATAGGAGCAGGCCTGAAGGCAGGCTGGGGCCAGGGAACGATTTTCCGAGACTCTCGCCTGCGACGCCCCCTCCTCAGCTTCCCGAGCGCTCTCCTCCCGCCGCCGGCCCGGGATGCAGGGTTCTCGGTGATGCGCTGGGGGTGCGCGGCGCTGCAGGCGCGGCCCAGGCCCCTCGGGGGTCGCGTCACCGAGGAGGCGAAGCCAGACCTGGATCGTCACTGGCTCCCGTCCTGGGGGTAAGAGCCCCCTTCCCGAGCCCAGACCTCCCCAAAGCGCGCGAGGGCCCCCGCAGGAACCGGGGGTGGGGTCCCTGAGCACCCCGCGCTCTCACCGCCTCTCCTCTCCCCTGCTTCTCCCGGCTCGCGCTCCAGCACCGCCGCCTCCTGGGCTCCCCCCGGAGTGGGAGGGAGTCGCGGTCCCGCCTCCGCGCCTTCCCTCCCGGGCCCTGCGGCCGCGGCGCGCCCGGACGCTGGGCTTTCCACGCGCGGACAGACTACGCCGCCGACCGACGGACGCGTGAGCCGGCTGCCGGCCGCCGGGATCCCGCGGGTGGGAGGCGGCCGCAGCCGCGCTCAGGGGAGGAAGGAGGAGGGGGCGGAGAAGGAGGAAGGGGAGGAGACAGATCACAGCCGTAAGCGCCGGCGGCACTGACACGCGAGTCCCTGGGGCGCCCCAAATCTTCCCCTAGGCCCACCTGGGACCCCAGGAAGTCTCCTTACCCCAAGCAGGGCGCAGAGCATGGAGTGCGGTGTCTGTGGGTCGCCTGCTTGAATCTTGGTCATCTTTACATTCCCATTGTCCAGTCCAGGGCCTGGCACAGACTAGATGCTCAATAAATGCCTGAATGAATGAATAAGATCCAGAGACTGTCTAAAGAAAGACCTTCCACCGTTCTAGGGTACCCTTCTCTCCTCCTTCAACTACTCTGGGGGAGGGGAGTGAGGGGGGGCTGGCAAGGCCCATTTCAGAGCCGAATGGAATCATGGAATCTGAAGTCTCCCTCCATCCAGGGAGACTGAGGCCCAGAGAGGGTAAGAAACAGGTCCAAGATCACACAGCAGTGCCCAGACACCAACCTAGAGTAGATTCTCCTCCCAGAACCCAATTCCCCAAAGCCCCACCTGCTACAGGTGAGTGGACTAGCAGCAGCATCCTGCCGGGGGGGTGGGATGGGGGCCTAGGCCAGGAGGCAGAGACCTTTGGAAAAGGCAAGTGCAAACCCTCCATCGACTCATTCACAGATGCTTGCAAACACTAGGTGCTCCATAAATGCTGGGTGAGGGCTGGCCGGCTGGAAAGGGACGCAGGTGATGGCAGCAGCTCAAGTGTTAATGGGATGGCCCTCTCCCTCCTCTGGCAAGCTGGATGCAGCTGAGGACACACATCAGCTGGGAGGGGGTGGACCACCCGGGGCCTGCGGGTGTTTAGATTAGGGAAGATGAAGGATGCATCCGGGAACTCCAGTCTGGGCAGCAGATGGGGGTCAGTGGCCTGTTTGGGAGCCTGCCCAGGGCGGCCCACGCTCCCCTTCCTCCCCAGGCCAGATGGTGATAAACTAGTCGAGGTCATGGGCAGGCTGCTCAGGGGCGCTTTCCCAGAACTGAACTCTGGTCCCCCAGCCAGCTGGAGTGACCTCCCCTCCCCAGGCCCCTGCTCTGTCCTGAAGCCCGGTGCCTGATGGGCTTCTCCAGATTGGGTCAGTGATTCTGCTTGCTTGCGCCTGCTGCAGACTACAGAGAAGTTCTGTCTGAGGGCAGGGCCAGCTCTGCAGTGATAACGCTCCAGCAGGGTCACTGAGCCCTAGTATTTTAGCCGAGGGTCCACCGATGGCTTTCTGGGGGGCCATGAAGGCCCCCTCCCCCAATGCAGATAAACATGTCTGTGCATTTTTCCCAGAAGAAAGGCTCTGGCTGTCAGAGATCCTTCTTCAAGGAGGCTGTGACCCAAAAGATTCAGAGCTGATGCTCACCAGTCTTACGTTACAGAGGTGTATCTGGGGATCCCAGGGTGGGGAAAAGCCTAGCTCAAAGCCACATGGAAATTTAGCAGCAACTTGGAAAGAAAGACCCAAGACACCAAGCTGTATAATGCCATTTAAGAGCTTGACTAGATGTCACCTTTTCCGGGAAGCCTTCCCTGAACTCATTCTATCTTCCTCTGAGCTCCTTTCCCCATACCTTGATGTGACACCCTGTATCACAGTTAGCCACTCCAGTGCAGTCCTCGCTAGAGGACCATGAGACCTGGGACTGTGTCTTAGTGATCTCTTCTGGTGTGGCTGGTGCTCATTACATGATGTTTATCGCGTGTTGAGAACCTGTTATGTGCCAGGCACTTACCTAAGACTCTCTGCTCTTCAGAGTTGCTCCACAAGGTAGGTAGTAATGTCCTGATGGACAAATATCCTGAAGCTGGAAGAGGTTAAGTGGCTGGCCCACATTCCCACAGGGAGTCGTGGCAGAGCTGGGACTTGAACCCCAAACCCTTTTGCACCTTCCACAGTAGCACGCTGCCTCTGTGTTTGTTCAGTGGCTGATGAACGGCACCCAGCTGAGGACCTGGTGCAGCCACAAAGGGAGTCGAAGGAGGGGAAAGGAATTTGGCCTTCAAGGAGCCTCCCTTTGCTGGGGAGGTGGCTCAGACATCAGTGGAGAAGCCAATAGAACAAACACAGTCATGAACTGTTCTTTTTAAAAATCTGTCTGTATGTATTACTACCTTAGAACAAGAATCCCAGGATTTTCTCTTCTGTGTGTTTTCGTCTTGCTTCCTTATGGCCATGATACTAGCTGAGGCTATCAGGACAGTGAACTCAAACTGATGAGGTAGAATTATTCTGCCTATTTTCTAGATAATCTGAGTTCTGCATCAAACCTGGGGCCGATCACACTCATTTAACCTGCACGTGAGTGATGTTCATCACGATTTTCTCACTCTGTGATCATCAACTATTTCAATTTGCCAGGGTAGCCATGCTTCCTTACCACAGTCAGAAACCAGACGATGACTTCGGAACATGACCCAAAGGAACCTGGAGTTTGCCTCTCTTCTCGGCATTGTTGATGCTTTTGAGAGCATTGGCCCAGGTGGTCATGTGCACCATTATGGCGGCATGGAAAGATGGCAGAAGGAGATAAACTCATTTTTTGGTTCTCTTATTCTTCATCCATCCGTCTGTCTGTCCATCCCCCCATCTATTCACCCACTCATCTCTACATTCATCTGTGAGCATACCTTTCCTTTCTCCTTCCCTGCCTCCTTTTCCCTACCCAACCATCCCTCCATCCATCGGTCCCTCACCTATCTGTTCATCCATCCGGCCCCAGACTGGACCCTGTCTATGTGCCAGGCACTGGGCTATGTGCCGAGACAGAGAAAACCAAAACACCATGGTCCCTGCTCTCCTGTGTCTCAGAGTCTAGTGGGAGAGAGAGAGGCAAATCAAAGAATCCAACAAAGTGTGATCACAGAATTTTGCCAGGGCCATGGAGGAGCCCTAACTTTCTCCCCCCTCTAGAAACCACCACTGAAAGGACATAGGAGTGGGTGCACAGCGCCTCCTGGTGGCCACTTGGGGGCCATTTTGCTCTAATGCTGGAGGGATTCCCAGGTAGTAATTCATTTTTTTTTTTTAATCCTCACCTGAGGACATTTTTCCATTTTTTTATTCAGATAGAGCAGGAGGGAGAGAGAGGAAGAGAGAGAGAGAGAGAGAAACATTGACATGAAAGGGACACATCGAGTGGCCGCCACCTGCACAACCCAACCAGGGCCAGGGACAAACTGCAGCCAATGTTCGCGCCCTTAGCGGAAACCGAACCCGGGTCTCTGTGGACCGCAGGCTGATGCTCTAACCGCTGAGCCAAACAGGCCAGGGCAAAAAGTTTTTATTTATTTATTTATTATTATTATTATTTTTCCCCCTTTATTCCCACACGACCCAACCAGGGCCGGGGACAAACTGCAACCAAGGTACCTTAGCAGGAACCGAACCTGGGTCTCTCCAGACCGCAGGCCAACGTTCTAACCACTGAGCCAAACTGGTCAGGGCCATTTTTATTTCCTTTTTATTGAGGTAAAAACACATATCATAAAAATTTGCCATTGTAACTATTTCTTTTTTTTTTTTTTTATCCTCACCCGAGGATATTTTTCTATTTTTTGTACAGATAGAGTGAGAGGGAGAGAGAGGAAGGGAGAGAGAGAGAGAAACATCGACGTGAAGGGACACATTGAGTGGCTGCCACTTGCACGACCAACCAGGGCTGGGGAAAAACTGCAACCAAAGTACGTGCCCTTAGCGGGAACCGAACCCGGGTCTCTCCGGACCGCAGGCCAACGCTCTAACCGCTGAGCCAAACTGGCCAGGGCTGTAACTATTTCTAAGTGCACAGTTAAGTAGTGTTAAGTACATTCATGTTGCTGTGCAACCAATTCTAGAACTTTCTCATCTTGCAAAATGAAACTGTACCCATTAAACCCTTCCCCCCTTCCCCTGGGCGCCCACCATTCTGCTTTCGGTCTCAGATTTTGACTACTCTCGATACTTCAGGCAAATGGAATTATGCCGTATTTGTCTTTTTGTGCCTGGCCTTTTTCACTTAGCATAATGTCGTCAAGGTTCATCGATGTCGTAGCATGTGTCAGAATCTCCCTCCTTTCTCAGGCTGTGTAATATTCCCCTGCATGGAAGTACCACATTCTGTTTAGCCAGCTGTCTGTCCACGGGCGCTTCGGTTGCTCCCAGCTCTTGACTGTTGTGAATAGTGCTGCCATGAGCGTGGGTGTGGAGTGTGGACTTCAACGAACAGGTGAGTGACAGGCCTTGATTCTCCTAGTTTGTGAGGGTGGGGAAGGAGGTTGAGCTCCTGGCTCTGATGGAGGGTATTTTCTCAAATAGCAAGACATCTGGATGCAGGCAGGCGCTGTTGGTATCGGCCGCTCAGCGTGTCGCCGAGGGCCCCTGCTTGTACTTGTGGATCGTCATATTGCGTGTGTTGGCTTTGGGGGCTCAAGCCTGTCCCTTGTCCTTGCTAAGTGACTGTCACAGCTATAGACTTGATAGTGTGTTCAAGGCAAAGTAAGAGAGGCCTGGGTGGTGGTGGCCAACCAAGGCTGTCCCTGTTGTCAGAAACACAAGAGATTTCTGAAGGCCCCAGCATATCCTCATATCCTTAGGGGGCTGGTCTTGACTACCGCTGACGGTGCCATGGTGACTGTTCCTGAGTCCAGGGTACCTTTTGTTTTCCACAGACTTATGATCTTAGAGAAGCAAAGCGTTCACCCGTGACCTGACCATCGTGAAATGAGTCTGTTCGCACGTCCCTCCGGGCTGGACACTCAGATGTGCGTGTGCCCAGCTTTGGGGTTGCTAAAAGGATAGTTTCCTTGGGAAAAGAAAGGAAGACCTGATTTTGTCTCTGTCTCAAGAGTTAGTAATTGATTAGAACGTAATCCAAGAGATGGTAAAATGTCATATCAAATAAGCTTATTTTCATAAATCTCATTGTTATTTTTCAGGATAATTCTGCCACCCAGCCTGCCTCTCATCCCCATTTGTTCTGACAATTTTGGTTCTTGTTTTTTTTTTAAATCCTCACCCAAGGATATTTTTCTATTTATCATCAGATAGAGTGGGAGGGAGAAAGGGAGAGAGAGAAACATTGATGTGAGAGAGACACACCGAATGGCTGCCATGACCCCGACCAGGGCTGGGGACGAACCGCAACTGAGGTACATGCCCTTGACCAGAATCGAACCCGCAACTCATTGGTCTGCAGCTGACTCTATAATCACTGAGCCAAATTGGCCAGGGCTCTTGGTTCTTGGTTTTTTTCCCTCACCTGAGGACATTTTTGCATAGAGTGAGGGGGGGGAGGGAGAGAGAGAGAGAGAGAAACATCAATGTGACAGAGACACATCGACTGGCTGCCACCCACACGGCCCCAACCGGGGCCGGAGACAAATTGCAACCGAGGTACGTGCCCTTAGCGAGAACCAAACCTGGGTCTCTCTGGACCACGGGCCAATGCTCCAACCGCTGATGGGGGATAAAGGTAGACTCAGAAGGAGACAACAACAGGAGATAAATATATTTCATCAGTTATAATCCAAGCCTTTGGAGAGTTTGAAGGTCTTCAAAGAGACTGGTTTGTTACTGGCTTAGACCTTCAGTCCAGCAGGGACAGGTAGGGCTGTGTCCCGAGGGAGGTGGGTGAGGGGAAGGGTTATGGGAACCAAGGGGCTGATAAAGGATTTTACTTTCAGAATATGGAGAGACTGTCTTCTAAAACTTGAAGGAAAAGGAAGGAGCTAATTGGAAAAATACAGATGAGAGCACATTTTTTTTTTTTAATCCTCACCCGAGGATATTCTTCCATTTATCTTGAGATAGAGTGGGAAGGAGGGAGGGGGGGGGAGAGCGAGAGCGAGAGAGAGAGAAACATCGATGTGAGAGAGACACTTTGATTGGCTGCTTCCCCGCATGACCCCGACCAAGGCCAGGGACCGAATTGCAACCGAGGTACATGCCCTTGACCAGAATTGAACCTGCGACTCTGGTCCGGGGGCTGACACCCCAACTGCTGAGCCAAACCGGCCAGGGCAAGAGCAAATATTCTGAATAAGGTAGTTCCCTCACGGAGTGAGAATCTGGCAAGGGGAGACTTGACAAGAAGGACGTGGCCGTCTTGATCCACAAAGGGGTCGAAGAAGCGAGGGGAGGAGCGGTGAGAACGCGTCTGGGACACAGGTCTACACGGTGAAACGATCCTTCAAAAGCCGTCGCCAGACGGCTTCCAGAGGTTCCTTCAGTCTAGGACTCCGCGACTTCTGTAGGAGAGCATCTCGTTGACAACAGGAGCCGTACAGACCCCGCAACTTCCTGGCATCTGCACTGTCTGAAAACAAAGAAACAGATGTGTGAGGATAAGATGTGTCCCATGCAGTTAAAATCATTGGTTAAAAAAAAGAAGAAGAAGGAAATCTATCCGAGAGGGTAACTATGACCTGGGATCATTTTGGGGTATTTGTTAATAGCATAGATCTGGATAATGAAAGGTGACCCTGGAGTGGGGCGGGGTTCCTCGAGAGCAGGTGTCTTCGCTGCCCACCCCCACAGGACATGAGGCAATGACTCGAGCATTTTAAATGGTCACAGCTGGATGACATCTAGTGGGTAGAGACTTGGGACGCTGCTCAACATCCCACAAAGCACAGGACGGCCCCCCATGACAAAGAATTACCTTGCTCTCTGGCCCGAGAGGAGGTTGAGGACCCCCGTTTTGAAAGAACTCTGAGAACGAAAGAACTTGGTGGGAGAACCAAGTGTCCTTAGTGGCAGGTATCTCGGTAGGAGGGGCACTGTGAACAGGTGGGGCAGACACTCTCGGCTGCTGACCGAACCCCATCCACGGTCATCGTCGCTCCCCTGCCCCCACTTTTTGGAGCCACTTTTAAGTAACAGGTCGCCCCGTGACAGGTGCGAGCAATGAAATGCAAGAGAATTTGCCGGCTGAGGCTTCTGAGAAGATACCTTTGGGTGGGTACCCTTCCCTTTCTGTTCTTCCTGCCTGGACCGTGACCCCGCCACCTGCAGGCACAGAGACCCCAATGTCTGGAGGCACGGTCACATCTAGTGGGCAGAGACCAGGGGTGCTGCTCAGCATCCTAGATGGCCCAGGACGGCCCCCTCCCCCCGGAGAACTACCCAGCCCTAAATGCCGACGGTGGCACGGTGGAGACCACCCAGTGGCGCTGTTAGGAGAGTCCTGGCTTGCCTGCCTCAGGATGTCTTGTCATGGCAAGAAAAACACAAAAGCGAAAACAAGGCTTAAGCTCCTGACTTGGGCGATCTGTCATTTGACTCAATTCCAAGTGGCGAGAGCAGGAGAGGCTCTGCGGTCTAAGCCCGTCCCCGGCAATGTCCAGCCGACACTCCCCTGAGGTCCTTCTTACTGGCACTGTCCACGACTGCACAGGATCTCCAGCCCGGTCCTTGCAGCAGAGAGAGGAGCACAACCACTCGGCAGCTTCGTTCGCCAGCAGATGCCAGCACCAACGGTTCCCTCCGCCCACGTCGCCAGTGGGGTCGGCCGGGTCCAAGATCACGGGCCTGCACGAGGGGTTGCAAGGCATTAGGGACTTCCTAGGACCAGCGGTCTCAGAGTTGGGGGCCCATTCTCCTCTCTGCAGCAAACCGATGTGTCCTTGTCACTTACAGATCAGGAATTCCAATGTACTCAGGCTCGGCGAAGCAATTTCATAGGACAAATTATACTCGTCAAAAACGTTCCGAGCGCCCTGGCCAGTTTGGCTCAGCGGTTAGAGCGTCGGCCTGCGGTCCTGAGAGACCCGGGTTCGGTTCCCGCTAAGGGCACGTACCTCGGTTGCAGTTTGTCCACGGCCCTGGTCGGTTGTGCGGGTGGCAGCCACTCGATGTGTCCCTTCACATCGATGTTTCTCTCTCTCTCTCTGTTCCTCTCTCTCCCTCCCACTCTACCTGAACAAGAAATGGAAAAATGTCCTCTGGTGAGGATAAAAAAAACAAAAACGTTCCGAGCCCCGGCCAGTTTGGCTCAGCAGTCAGAGCGTCGGCCCACGGACCAGAGGGTCTTGGGTTCGATTGCAGTCAAGGGCACGCACCTCAGTTGCGGTTCAGTCCCGGGCCTGGATAGGACCTGCCGGAGGCGACCAATCGATGTGTCTCTCTCACATCGATGTTTCTCTCTTTCTCTCCCTCCCTCCCTTCGAAAAATATCCTCGGGTGAGGATTTTAAAAGAATGCTTTGAAAGCTGCTCATTATTATCTACATGAAGGCATCATACAAACATCCCCATGCCAGGAAACTGAACCGTGATGTCTAATCATAACCAAATATATGATGTTGCCAAGTTGACCACACCCATGGTGGGCAACCCAGGGTATCTCGTGCTCTTTCTTGCCCTCTATCCTTTCTCAACACTCCTTTCTTTTCTCCCTTTCCTTGTCTTTGGCTTCCATTGTTTTTGTCCCTTGCCGGTGGCTCCAAGCAGATGAGCTGAGATTCCTCCTATCCTTGAAGGATAAAGGCTTTGTGGGACGCGGGGCTGAAAGGTTAGATAAAACCTGACTTAATAAGAAGCCCGGAGGATCAACTAGCCTGCGAATGACATCGTTAGTTCCCAGGGACACGCACAGGCTGGGTCACGTAGTTCTCAGGGACCTGCTAACAAATCTACACTTTCCCTTGTGACCTGGAAAGAAGACCACACAGGGACCTGGAACCTTGGGCCGCCTTCTCTTCTGGATGACATCTTCTGCCTCCCTAGGGTTTCACCTCTGCAGGCTGTTGGTTAGCAACACCCCCTCCCCGCCCAGTTTCACAGGAGGAAGAAGAATCATGACCCCACAGGGGAGAATCCAGGTCGCTGAGGTAGTGTTGGAGGGAATCAGGTTAAGGAAAGGAGGGGGTGGGGTTGGGGCACCTGGGTTTCTGGATCTGGGTCAGTAGGAAATCCCTCACGATCTTATTCTCGAAGTCGTAATTGACTGTCCAGAAGATGCAGAGGTGCTGGTATCTTGTGACCAACCCCAGGACGGTCCGGAACGCTTCGGCGGTGTCAAATTTCGGCATCCCGCTGCCCTGCTCCCAGGCGTAGATGGTGAGCAGCTCCAAGGCGTACTTGGGGGGCAGGGACCCCTTTTTCTTCAGTCTCCTTTCGCACTGAAAGAAGAGGGGTGTCATCAGACCATACCGGTCAAGGCAGGGAGGCGCACTGAACATTAAGGACTCCTGGAGCCACAGCCTGGCAACTGAGCCCCGAGACGCAGCGTGGGTGGGAGTGACCTGGGGAGGTCCGGGCAGTGCAGGGCTGTGGGCATCCACGTAGCCTCTGGTGGGCAGGTTTCTCTGCCGCGATCTGGCCATGCGTGGTTTCCTAGAGTTATACTATATCTTACTACAAACCCACTGCGTGCTAATTATGGGGCCGGGCTTTTTACCTAGGTCATTCTTTTTTTTTTTTTAATCCTCACCCGAGGACAGTTTTTTCATTTTTTGTTCAGATAGAGTGGGAGGGAGAGAGAGGAAGAGAGAGAGAGAAACATCGACATGAAAGGGACACATTGAGTGGTTGCCACCTGCATGACCCAACCAGGGCCAGGGACAAACTGCAACCGAGGTACATGCCCTTAGCGGGAACCGAACCTGGGTCTCTCCAGACCGCAAGCCGACGCTCTAACCGCTGAGCCAAACTGGCCAGGGCTCCCTAGGTCGTTCTTGATCTTCCCAATCCCCCTTCAGAGTAGGCATCATGACTGCATTTTAGATGAAGCCAGGAGGCTCAGGGAAGTGAAGTGACTTGCTCAAGGTCACCCTGTAGCCCCAAGCCCTCTGAGCACCCTGGGGCTGGGCGTGGAATGATTCTCGAATGTTCCAGGATGGGAACCACAGAGCTCAGGCTCCAGGGAGCCAGACACAGAAAGGAGACATCGCAGGCAAGGGCCGATAACGTGCTGTGCGTTTGCTGTCGTGAAAATACTCCGGAACGAAGGAAGAGAAGCAGGGGCGAAGCAAAGCCCCCCAAAATGCAGCCCCTGGCTCCCCCTGCAGCATCAACCTGCCTTGCAGGACAGAGCTCCGGTGTCTGTGAGCGACGGCACCGAGCAGGAGGAAAGCCAGGCTGGCGACCTGCAGGCATGCCCTCCCTAGGCAGAATCCTTCGGGTGTCAGAGCAAGGGCAGAAGAAGCCCCGTGTGGCGGCTTTGATGGTAGGAGACGCTCTACGCCCGACCCAACTTCATAGGGTTGGTGATGGGACCCTCCACCAACATCCTCAGGATTAAAGCGGCCCGACCCCCCCAGCACGGGGGAGTGAGCTCACGGAGCCCTCGGTCAGGGCTGGTTGCACACATCGGTACACACCTGTTTGTACCAGTGCTTCATCAGACGAATTAAATCCTTCAGCTTGGTGGGCCGGGACATAACGAAGTCCCGCTGCAGCTCTGTGAAGCAGGGTGAAAACTCTCCCCCCGGGGTGTCTGTGTTTTTATACAGACTGATGAGCTCGGTGTAGACTCTCCAGCGGGGTTTCAACTTATCTAGTGTGGGGGAGATATAATTACATTATGCCTTAATACATATAGAAAGTAGCAGTTTTCAAAACATTTTTGACAAATACCATGTAATTCTGGGAAATGATTTCTAACTCTATTAGTGTATGTGTCAGGTGTTGGGAGCAACTCTAGAGGAATGAGATATTGAAACAAATGATATGGTCTATGAATACCAGTGATATTATTAAAATGCTTCTGTCTAGTGTGGTAGCCGCCAGCCAATGGGGCTGTTTGTATTCAAATTAATTAGAAGGAAATCAAATTAAAAATTCAGTTTCTTGCCTAGCCGGGTGGCTTGGTTGGTTGGAGCACTGTCCTGTACACCAGAAAGTTTGCAGGTTCAAGTCCAGGTCAGGGCACATACCTAGGTTGTGGGTTCAATCCCTGGTTGGGGTGCATAGAGGAGGCAACCAATGGATAGTTCTCTCTCACACCATGTTTCTCACTCTCTCTTTCTGTCTCTCTCCCCCCTTCTTCTCTCTCTAAAATCAAATTACCTAGGAACTAAATAAATTTAATAAATAAATAAATTTAGTTTTTCAGTCACAGTACCCACTTTTCAAGCTCTCAATAGGTATAGAGATAGAGAGTATTCCCATGATCACAGAAAGACCTTTTTTTTTTATCCTCACCTGAGGACATTTTTCCATATTTTGTTCAGATAGGGTGGGAGGGAAAGAGAGAGAGAGAGAGAGAGAAACATTGAGGTGAAAGGGACACATCGAGTGGTTGCCACCCGTACAACCCAACCAGGGCCGGGGACAAACTGCAACCGAGGTACATGCCCTTAGCGGGAACCCAACCCGGGTCTCTCTGGACCACAGGCCAGCGCTCTAACCACTGAGCCACACAGGCCAGGGCCAGAAAGACCTTTTGGATAGCACTGACTGGGAGTTTGCTAACTATGGCCCCAGGCTAAATCTGGCCCACGCCTTGTTGTTGTAAATAAAGTTTTATTGAAATTGGCATCCCCTTTGTTAATGTATTACTTATGGCTGCTTTCAGGCTACAACAGTAGAGTTGAGTAGTTGTGAGAGATACCATATAGTCCTCAAAGCCGAGAAGATTTGCTATCTTGCTTCCTATAAAAAAAGTTTGCCAACCCCCAATCGTTATTTTTTCTTTGAGAGACACTAAGAACCCTTCAGAGGGAAGGCACTTTGTGGTGTAGATTTGGGAAATGCCTGAAATAGCCTTAGTTTCTTTTAATACCCCATCATGTTTCTGTCACCCACGAATTGAATTTGTAAGGGACATTTCTGCCTAAGATTGAAGTTGAACACCCAGACTTCCTGTCTTTGTCCAGAATTCCTCCCACAATCTGTTCTTTAATTCCCTTTACTGATACTTGAGGCATTTTTTTCTATACCTATGTAAGGAAGTGCTGTGCACCCCATTCTCTGATAGATATTGTGAATGACACCACGGGACAATAAGCTGTGAGCATCTTGGGGTCCTCAAACGAGGAATGAAAATGTGTACAGGTGGAAGGTACACTAAGTAACATACCTGCCTGTACCTACAGACCTTTTCACTTAAAGGAAGCACCTACGGCTCCTCTTGGGCATATCTGAATGGCCAGCATCACTACTCCTAAGTTTCGGGGACATTAAGGACTAAAATAAGGGTGACTTGAACACAAGCACTATGACTCCACGGCATGGGTCTGATAACCAAGACAGCTACTAAGTGACTACCAGGCTGGGAGCGAACACAGGGGGAGACGCTGGACAAGGGAGGCTCATATCCTAGGCTGAAAGGGGCATGACGTCATCACGCTACTCAGAATGGCCTGCAATTTAAAACGTATCAATTGCTTACTTCTGGAATTTTCCATTTAATATTTCCCGACCACGGTTGACCACCAGTCACCAAAGCCACGGAAAGCAAAACCGTGAATAAGGACTGGGGACTACTGTATTGCTGCCATTATTATTATTATTATTATTATCCTCACCTGAGGACATTTTTTCCATTTTTTGTTCAGGTAGAGTGGGAGGGAGAGAGAGAGAGAGAGACATTGACATGAAAGGGACACACCGAGTGGCTGCCACCCACACGACCAACCAGGGCCGGGGACAAACTGCAACCGAGGTCCGTGCCCTTAGCGGGAACTGAACCCGGGTCTCTCTGGACCACAAGCCGACGCTCTAACCGCTGAGCCAAAGGGGCCAGGGCTATTGCTGCTGTTATTAATGCCACCTGCTGGGGGCACTGGACCCAGGACCCACTACTGTCACCTGGCTTTCCCTCCACCCCCCTCCCACCATCATTCCAGAGCCGCCCTCCTCCAGCAGCAAAGGTGGGGATCTCACCCAGCGCGTTGAATGCCGGCAGCATATCAAAGTCGACCCTTTCGTTGAGTTGTTTGGATTTTAGGGAGAAGCTCAGCACCCTGGGAGCCTTCCACTTCGAAATCTCAAACTTCACTTCAAGCTCCTGCTCACTGGCTGCTTGGCGCTGAAAGGCTTCGAGCTGTGCTTGGATTTCCTTGATGACTTTGCATCTCTCGTCCCTTTGAGAGGCGTAGCTTTCAAGCGAGTCCACGAACACCACGAGGTCGGCGTCCGAGCCGGTCTTCAGGGTGGTGCCTTTGCTGAAGGACCCTCCCTAGTGGGGACAGGCAGGGTGAGATACAGCATTCTGGAGTCTAGAGTCTAGACCGCCAGCCCCTCACCCCCATGGGCTCCCACCGGCTGGACCCATTCAGGAGGCTGCTGGGGGTAGAGCCCAAGTTGGGGCCCAGTGAGGGCAGAGTCTGAAGGAGACCGCTTCGTTTTTCACAGGAATGGAACGATAGGGTTCCGAAGGCTGTTGTTCTCACACCCTGCGAGGTGCTGATTTATACGGATGGGTTAGAAATGACCTACTTCTCAGGCTGTTGTCCTAAACCTAAAGCGTATTTCACGTGCAATTCCCGCGACCTGAAAGGAACTCAGCGATGCAGTCATGATGTGGAAAGTTCTCATCTGCCCCGCCCCCCGCCCCCGTTCATCCGTTTTCTCCTGCAATCCGGGCAATGTTGGATGAACAGGCATCACTTAGATGCGCGGTTTGGCACTCTTGGTAAAGCGTTTCTCCACTTCCTTCCTCCTTCCTGCCTCCTCCCCCCTCCACCTCTCTCTCCCCACCCCTTCTCTTTTTCAACAACCCTGTAAAAATGGAAAAGCCATTCTTAGCTCGCTGGCCCTGGTTTGACCACCCCTGCGTGAGCTGCCAGGCTCATTCTATCTCGAGGGGTGCTGTCTGTAAACACAAGTCCTTGGCTGGTGGCTTCTTTGAGGGTGAGCGGGGGAGAAGCCAGCTGCCATGCAGAGGACCCTCCCAATGCCACGATGCGGTGGACTTAGTGCTGGGCACCAATCCTCATGCTCCTGGTGGCCCCTGGGAAGCTCATCCTGTTTTTATAGGAAAAATGACCCCTTTACCCAGGGGTAAATAATGCCCTGCTATGCAGGTTAGAGGGGAGAAGAGGGTGTTCCATTGCTTGTATACAGAACCGCAATGAATCCCTTCTCCAACTCCATTCATTCGTGCAGACAGAGGGGAGCCTCTGGGCCACGGGCAGGATAATCCAGTCCACTGACTCTCTCGCTCAGGGGGTGGGAGAAACCAGGCTCTAGTCACTGAAACAAGGAAGAGGTTCAGAGGTGTCTTTGGTTCCATGGACACCAAGCTGAGACTCTGTGGGGGTCGGAATGGTGGCCCTGCAAAGGTCTGTCCGTGAAAGTGACCTTATTTGGAAAAAGAGTCTTTGTGGATTTGCCTGAACGAGGGATCTGTGGGCCCTAAATCCAATGACAAGTGCCCTTAGAAGAGAAGGGAAAGGGAGAAGACACTCAGAGAAGGGACAGGATGAAGCAGGCAGAGATCTGCGGGATGCAGCCGCAAGCTGAGGACCGCCAAGGATGCCAGCAGCCCTGGGGTGCTGATGGAGTCAAAAGTATGTTGTTAGCCCTGGCCGGTTTGGCTCAACGGTGAGAGCGTCGGCCTGCGGTCCTGAGAGACCCGGGTTTGGTTCCCGCTAAGGGCACGTACCTCGGTTGCAGTTTGTCCCCGGCCCTGGTTGGTCGTGCGGGTGGCAGCCACTCGATGTGTCCCTTTCATGTCGATGTTTCTTTCTCTCTCTCTCTGTTCCTCTCTCTCCCTCTCACTCTACCTGAACAAAAAATGAAAAAATGTCCTCGGGTGAGGATTAAAAACAAAAAAGTATGTTGTTAGCTCTGGCCAGTCTGGCTCAGCGATTGGAGCATCGGCCCGCAGACCAGAGAGTCCCGGGTTCGGTTCCCGCTAAGGGCACGTACCTTGATTGCAGTTTGTCCCCGGCCCCGGTTGGGGTCGCGTGGGTGGCAACCACTCGATGTTTCTCTCTCACATCGATGTTTCTCTCTCTCTCTCTTCCTCCCTCTCTCCCTCCCACTCTATCTGAACATCAACGCAAAAATGTTGTTAATGACCTAAGCAGTCCATCAGCACCACCCCCGCCCCGGAAACCAGTGTCCTAGTTGCCCACCTCCCCAGCTTCCCTCCCTCATCCTTTGCCCTTAAGCCTCTGTTGGGAGACAAGCCTCCCAGAAACCGCTTGGCATCTTGCTAGTAACACCGCACAGCGGTTCTCAACCTTCCTGATGCCGCGGCCCTTTAACACAGGTCCGCATGTTGTGGCGACTCCCAGCCATAAAATTATTCTCGTTGCTACTTCATCACTGTAATTTTGCTACTGGTATGTCTTAGGCGACCCCTGGGCAAGGGCCATTCGACCCCCAGGTTGAGAACCGCTGCTTTAAGAGCCGGGCCAGTGCTCACCTTGACAGGCTTCTGAAGCTTTGTGGTTGAGCGCCGGAAGCAGTTTTCTCTAAGGAATGCACAGATGATGTCAACAGCTGTGCTGATCTGACTTAGGAAAGTTTGGTTGGGCTGGAGGAAGTCCTTGATGAACTTATCCAGAAGGTGGCCGGGCGTCTCGTGCAGTGGTACCGGCTGGGGAGGGTGGAAGAAGCCCCCTGTGAGCGGCCCCCTGCCAGCTGGCCCCAGGTTCTCTTCCTGTCTCACCCTCCTGCTCCCCAACCCTGGTATCTTCGTCATCGTTATGTCTAGTGACATATCGCAGGAACATATTGAGAATTGAGGGTGGTACCCAAGACCCCGCAGAAACAAAACTCTCCCCTCGTCGAGAACTGAACCCTCCTCCGGACGAGTTCCTTCCCGCCCCAACTCCAGACTGCCCTGTTCCCATGTCCAGCCGTGGCGTCGTCCATGGTGGCCAGCGCCTGCCAGCTTCCCCTGGCCTCTGCTCCTCCCTTCTCCTGTTCCTGCAGCTATCGTAGATTTCTGATGACCGTACTCATGTCTCTCTCCAGGTTCTATCAGCGTCTCAACAGGCGGGGCCCCGCTGGGTCGGTCTCCCAGGGCTGCCATAGGAAATCACAGCCGGGTGGCCGAAAGTCCCTGAAATTCACCCATTCACGGTTCGGGAGACTAGAAGTCCGGACTCAGAGCGAGGGCAGGGCCACGCTCTCTCTGATCTCCTCGGGGAGGCTCCTTTGTTCCCTCCTCCGGCTTCTGGTGGCGCCAGCCATCCTCGGTGCTCCGCGGCTTGTGGGCACGTCCCTCTGACCCCTGTCCCTGCACTTGCCTCCCCGCTCTGTGCCTGTGTCTCCGTGTGTCTTCTTGCAAAGACACTGGTTATTGGATTGAGGTCCCATGCGAATCCAGGATGACCTCATGTTAACGAATGGCACCTGCAAATACCCCGTTTCTAAAGGTCACATTCTGCCTGGCTGGTGTGGCTCAGTGGACTGAGCGTCATCCCCTGGACTGAGAGGTCCAGGTTTTATTCCCGGTCAGGGCACATGCCCAGGTTGCGGGCTCGATCCCCAGTGGTGCAGGAGGCAGCCGATGGATGTTTCTCTCTCACATCGATGTTTCCATCTCTCTCTCCCTTCCTTTCTCTCTAAAAGGTCAATAAAAACATATTTAAAAAAAAAAAAAAAGCAGAAAAAGAAGGTCACATTCTGAGGAGCTGGGTGGACGTGAATTTGGGGGGACACTACTGAACCTCTACAGCAAGGAAGGCTGTTCTCTCTGAGTGTGCTGAGAGGGCTGTCCTGGGACCAGACTGTGTGTTCAGTCTGAAGAGACAGCTCTCTGCTCTCTAATCAAATGGGACCATGGAGGGTAGGACCTGCTCACTCCCTTGCACCTGTGGTCATTTCTGGAAAGAAACCATATTCTGATTTCTTAATGGGGTCTGACATCTGCAAAGAACTACAGTTCTCTCCTCTTGGGTAGAAAAGTTCAGACAGTGGGGGTCTGCTCATAACACCCCACCGGAGACTGTTCTGTGCCCTGTCCCACTGGATAATGGTCAGCCTCCCCTGTAGGCTCCAGTCTTCAGGAAAAGCTTGCTTCTCACTGGTGGTAGACAGAATAGTGACCCCCCCCCCCCCAAATGTCCATGTCCTCACCCCCAGAACCTTACGTGGAAACTGGGACTCTGCAGATGTGATTAAAGTAAGGATCTCGACACGGGGAGACTGTGCAGGACGACCCAGGTGGCCTCATGTCATCACAGGGTCCTGACAAGAGGGAGGCAGGAGGGTCAGAGCTCGAGCGAGAAGTTTAGGGCTAGAAGCAGAGGTCAGGAGAGAGCATGGAGGAAGGGCCACGGGCCAAGGAGGACAGGCAGCCTCAAGGAGCTGGAGAAGGCCAGAAAACGAACTCTCCCCGAGCCTGTGAACCCCTTGACTTCAGCATCATAAGGCTGATTCTGGATGGCTTACCTCCAGAACTTTAAGATAATGAATTCATGTTCTTTTATGCCGTGAAGTTTCTTTCTCTCTTTTCTTTTCTTTCTTTCTTTCTCTTTCTTTCCTTCCTTCCTTATTTATTATTATTTTTTTAACAGTAGTAAAAGGGATTGAGTATGGCCCGGCTGGTGTGGCTCAGTGGTTGAGCATCTACCCATGCACCTAGAGGTCGCAGGTTCGATTCCCGGTCAGGGCACATGCCCAGGTTGTGGGCCTGATCCCCAGTGGGGGGCATGCAGGAGGCGGCCAGTCGATGTTCTTGCTCATCGATGTTTCTATCTCTCTCTCCCTCTCCTTTCCTCTCTCTCTAAAACCAATAAAGGGGAAAGAAAATGAGTACATTGCTGTGTGTAGATGCAGTCTTTTTTGCCGGTGAGCACAGATCAGATGGGCCAGCTGTCCTGGGGGCGGGGGAGATGCTCAGCTTCAATGGTGAAGGTCAATCTTGGTTGCCCCAGATGTTAAGAGGACGTCACAGTTGCTGAGGACAGTGTCCCCTTGAAGGCAAATTAACCATCAGCCCTGCCTCGCTCGCTGGGCAGCATAGTGTGTGTGCGCGCCCTCCAGTCCCTGGATCTCGGGGTCCCTGCGTCCGCACTGCCTCCAACAGCTGTAGTGAGCGGCGTGGCCTCATAACTTTGGAAATAGAAGTTGAAGGCGATAACAAACCCATAAGGGCAAAAGCAGGAATCACGGGCTCGTTTAGAAGAGGCATTGAAAACTAAATGCTCCTGGACTGGGGCGGGGGGCGGGAAATGGCTCTAAAGGACATTCTCAGGATAATTCGCAAAATCTGAAAGTGGGTTGTATTAGACAATACTGAATAATATCGTAAGTCCTCACCCAACGTCACGGATCGGTTCTGTGACTTTAAGCAAAAGGACGTGTAACAAAACCAATGTTACTGCCGGCTGAGTGCCCACGACATCGCGTTGACGTCCTAATGAAACGATGGCATTTGGGAACCTGCCGGCTGTGACTCTGAACCTCTGGAATTTGGCGCCTGCATGAGGTTGCCCAAGACAACGTCCTTGCTCTCAGAGATGCCTGCGGAAACATCTAGGGGTGAAGAGAAGAGCTATCTGGCAGCCGGCTCTCAAATGATCAGAATAAACAACTACAGTAATAATCCTGATGACGGCGATAGTGCACACACGCACACACACAGACCGTCACACCCAGTGTGGACGGTATTAATCACTTGGGCATCTGGAGAAAGGGCACACAGCAGCTCACGGACCATTTCTGCAACTTTTCTATCCATTTGAAAGTTTTCAGAAGCATAGGTTGGGGGGCATCTTCTTTGCCAAGCTGTCTTAGGAGGCTGGGAGCCAAGACTAGGAGTCCGGTGGAAGCAGGGGCGAGGGGGGCGGGCCCAGGGGCGACTGCTCAGAGCATCCCATCCTTCTGGGTCCGATTAGGGGATTTCCTGTTCACTTGTGGGCCCTGTGAGCTGGGTAAGTTCATCTCCATCTCCGTTTACATCCAGATCTTTGCTCAACGGGCCCTCACCTTTCTGTGCACATGGAATATGGATCCTGGCCCCCCCTAAATTGGACGGAAAGGAGTCCCGATTCTGTGACATGTAGAATTTAGTTCGCCTCTCTGGCCTCAGTGAAGTTTTTGTGTCCCCTTGCCCCGCCCCACGACTCCCAGGAATGCTTAATGGATTCAGTGGTCTAACCTGAGAATGTTCCTGTCGGACTGTCCTTCTCTGATACACTGAGTGCAGGGGAGGCTGTGATGATGGATTTGCTCCTCCTTTGGGGGGTGGGAGGGGCCAAGTCAAGTCTCTGACAGCCGGCCCCTGGCTCCGTTCTCCTGTTTCCAGCCCCGTGTCTCAGAGCCTGTCCCAGCATCCGCGGGGGTGCCTGCCGCCCTCCTCCCCCGAGCTCTGCTCCGTTTCATCCGTCCCCCCTGCAGAAATGAGTCGAAATCTCTCATCTGCAGGTGCGCCCCTTTGCTCTTTGTTCAGTTTGGACTCGGCCACGATTTTCCTGGAAGGAGAGACCCCTAACAGCATGTTGTGGATTAAACTGCGTCCCCCTAAAAGATACGTGATCTTGTCAGGAAAGAGGGTTCTTGCAAGAGACAATCGATGAGGTCGTTAGGGGGGCCCTAACCCAATATGACCTGTCTCCTAAGAGGAGAGAGACACAGAGGCAGCAGGGAGGGAAGACGTTGTGAAGACACGCAAGGGAAGGCTACGTGTCAATGCTGCCACGGCCACGGAGAGCTGGAGGCCACAGAAGCTGGAAGAAGCAAGGAAGGATCCTCCCCTAGAGCCTTCAGAGGGAGCACAGCCCTGCCGACCCCTTGACCTTGGACTTCCAGCCCCCAGAACTGTGACAGCATAGATGGCTGTTGCTTGAAGCCACCCAGGACACGGGACAGCAGCCCTAGCAAACTGACACACGGCGACCTTGAGTACGACTGCACCCTGGGTGTCAGGAGGGCCCCCCTGAAGCATGCCACGAGCTATATTTGAAAAGCCCTCTCACCAGAACATTCCAGGGTGGTCCGGGATGCTCCTGCAGGCTGGGATCAGACAACCAGCGTTGAGCTTCTTCTTTGAGCAGTTGCCAGCACAGCTGATCTTTGCTCACATTGTTGGTTGGGTCCGTTGGATCCAAGATGACTGGCCTATGAATTTCATTCGATTAAAAAAAAAAAATCAGTTGGGCTGCTTGTGGGAGGAGAAGTCAGTTGTGGGGAAAGAGGCCTAGACTGGGCTTCTGGTAATCTGGATTTTAAGTCCTGCGGTTTCTCTCAGCTGCTGAGGTGCTTTGTCTAAGATGCCCAGCCTCTCTGGTCCTGGGTCTCTGTTGGACAGATGTTCCATTAGTAAAGTCATGAAATGGTCTCTCCCTGCTGACCTTTCTTCTCTCTTAGCCTCTTCCTTCTAGGAAGAAAAGTACCTCTCAAGTGTTTGTTTTGGGTCCAAAATGTGATGGTTTGGAACGTGAAAAGCATCGGTCAGGTTTCTCGCCCTCAGACAGACCTCTCTTCACCTCCCTACCCAATGCCGCTGGCATTCTTGGGGGGCATCCTTGGCTGGGAAGGACAAGGCTGAGCTCTCAGTGTAAGGGGTACAGTCGAGCATACAGATGAAGCAGTAAAGAGAAAGGGCCGTGGACGCTTGGTACCTTGATGATCGGATCTGATGCAACATGATGTTCCGGACGGTCTCATCCTCAAAGTTGTAGTTGACCGTCCAGTAGACACACAGCTGCTCCTGCTGCTTGATGAGCCCCAGGACGGTTCTGAGGCCCGCGACTATATCGAAATCTTCAGCTCCACAGCCCTGTTCCCAGGCATAGACGGTGAGCAGCTCCAGCGCGTACGAGGGCGGCCAGGACGGGCTCGCCGACTGTTTTTGGCACTGCGGGCAAAAAAAGGGGCAGCGGCTACGTTGGAGACCCAGTTCCTCCCAGGTCAGGGGTCCGAAATCAAGAAATCAGACGTCCGTAAGAAGTCCCTGTCCCCAACCAGGGACTAACGGGACTCCGCCTAACGATGGACTGACAATGTCACGTGTTGACAAGGACGCGGAGCACCTGAGAGTGTCCTACGTTGCTGATGGAAGTATAATTTGGTACAAACATTTGGGAAAATGACAGATGCGGCTCAACTGACAAGAAGGTTCCCTCTGGATAAACCCAACGTAAGGAGCCCAGAAATGCGTCTCGTACAACTGGCCTACCGAACGTCAGAGCTGAGCCCCGCTCACCGTGAAAGCGCCCAGGACGCGTGCAGCTGGGTGGTGATCTTGAGTTTCATCTCAAGAGCCATGGCCTTCCTCGTCTCCCCAGAAGTAGGAGACACAGCGGGGCATTTTGTAGACAGGACGGGATGTGCAGGCGCGAACCACGGCCTCCGGAAGAGGCCGGCCACCCCGCACGCTGTCGAGGGTCGCGATCCCGCGGCGGACCCAGCGCTGAAGCTCACTGCCGCGGTCCAGACACACGAGAGAGAGCACGTACCGCATCGTCCAGCCCAGGAAAAGGCCAGCATTCGGAGTACAGTTTCTACTGAATGCCTATCACTGTCCCACCATTGTAGTAAAAACAATAATCTTGTCCTGGCCCGTTCTGCTCAGTGGTTAGAGCGTCAGCCTGCGGTCCAGAGAGACCCGGGTTCGGTTCCCGCTAAGGACATGTACCTCGGTTGCAGTTTGGGATCGTGTGGGTGGCAGCCACTCGATGTGTCCCTTTCACGTCAATGTTTCTCTCTCTCTCTCCCTCCCACTCTATATGAACAAAAAATTGAAAAATGTCCTCGGGTGAGGATAAAAAAATAATAATCATCATCTTAAGTCAAACCATCGGTACTTTGATGGGCCCGTCTGTCTTTGGCGGTATTTCCTAAAGTTAAATAGGTATGCGTTCCTCATTGTGTACACATACGTGTGTACAGATAGATGCCATGTGCATATGTATAGACACACATATGTTTTTATTACATATACCTCATAACCCAGCAGTTGCACTCCTGCATATGCACCCGAGAGAAAGGAGTGCTCGGATTCACAAAAACATATCCAGAGTCACCTAGTTCATAACAGTCCCAACTCAGAAATGACCCAAATGTCCATTGGCAGTAGAATGGATAAATGTGTGGTATGGTGATACAATGGAATAGTATAAAGCAATGAACAATGACAACCACACGCACCCATGGGGACAAACCTTTCAGACACCATGTTGAACAGAAGACAGCAGACACAAAGTGCATATGGTAGGATTCCATGGGTATCAAGTTGAAACACAAGCCAAGGAATTTGTGGTGACAGCTGTTAGGATCATGGACTGTTTGGGGGGGTACTAACTGGGAGTGGGCTTGAAGCTGCCTCCTGGGGTGCAGGAAACATGCCCGATTTTGATCTGGGTGTTGCTTAAATTAATGAGTGTCCCAAAACTATGTATCTAGGGTGTCTGTAGATTCTGCTACGTTTTGAAAATGAAATGTATTTGAAGAAACATGGCTTTATAATTACACTTTTTGTGTGTATACTTTTTGGGGGACATCCTCTCTCTATAACAACGCATTGAGCTGTATACTCCAGATTGTTGCACTTTACTGGATCACAGGTTATCGTGATCAAGAGGAAATGGATGACAGCTAGAGATTTGAAACTTACCTGTTGATACCAGTCCTTTACCAAGAGGATCAAATCTTGCAGCTTTCTGGGATGGTTGTTAAAAAACTTCTGCTGGAGTTTTGTGAAGCAGACCGAGAATTCACCAGGGCTCGCTTTGGTCATATCCAGGGATCTTTTGAGCTCTCGATAAGTCCAGGGGCTGGGCCTGTCACGTGAGCCTGGAATGAGAGCGAGAAAGGACGTTCGCAGTCATGGAAGTGATGACCCACCGTGAAGGCCGGGCGTGGTTTGATGGCAAACTGCTCCCTCTGTAAGAGGCCGAGTGTATTTGCAAAAAAGAGGAGGTGGTGGCTGTCCCTGCTCCACAATGAACCGACCCTGATGCTTAAGACAAGGTCAGCGGAAAGCACACAGGGGAAAGGAGAAATGATTATAAATGAAAAAAGAGTTCCAAATTAGTAGGGAAGAGATGGTTTCTTTTAAAAATGGTGTTGGGCCCCGGACAGTTTGGCTCAGTGCTTGGAGTGTAGGCCCTTGGACCAGAGTCTTGGGTTCGATTCCGATCAAGGGCATGTGCCTCGGTTGCAGTTGGGTCCTGGCCCTGGCTGGGGTCATGTGGGAGGCAACCAATCAATGTGTCTCTCACACATCGATGTTCCTCTCTCTCTCTCTCTCCCCCTCCCTCCCACCCTATCTGAAAATAAATGGAAAAACATCCTTGGGTGAAGATTTTTTAAAAAATGATGTTGGCCTACGGCTGGAAGAAGAAAAAGTTTATGTATCACATACAATCTATTCCGCTATTGAGCATGCCCGGTGAGTTTATAGTTCAGAGAATCAAGGGTCCAGGCACCTTGAGGAGGCAGGTGAGGGCAGGGCCCTGGGGCTGGGGCTGGATGCCGGTTGGCAGGTGCTCCCCACAGCACTGGGCCCTGTGAGGTGGGTGACGCCGGGCAGTGGCTCTCAAACTGGGCTGCCTTGCGGGACCCGGCTGCACAGCTGATGTGAGTACAGGCGCGGAGCCTCCCGCATCAGTGAGCCCGGGCCTCTGCGTTCCCGATGAGCTCTGCTGAGATCTGACACCCAAGCGGAGAGAGCTCGCGACTGTAGTTTATTTATTTTTTAACATGTTTTTACTGATTTTTTTTTTTTTTTTTAGAGAGAGGGAGAGAAAAACATCGACGTGAGAGAGAAACATCGATCAGCTGCCTCCCACATGCACCCGACCATAACCTGGGCATGTGCCCTGACTGGGAATCGAACCGGCAACCTTTCAGTACATGGGATGATGCTCAACCTACTGAGCCACACCAGCCAGAGCTCTAATGTAGAAATTGTGTTACCTCTTACCCAATCAGTGCAGGGTTTTGTCTTTCCTTGATGGCACCAGAAAGATCTTATTTCCATAACATACTACTCTTGATACTTTCTTTAAAGATACTTTTCATTAAAGATTCTTTCATAAGGTATTTAACTGGGAGCTGGGAGGCTAAGGTGCTCAGGTCTCGGCTTTTTGGTGAATTTAACTGTGTGAACTTGGGTAAGTCACTTAATTTCTCTGTGCTTCAGTTTCCCTATCTTGTAAAATGGGAACACTACCTGCCTCACAGGGTTGTTGAAGGGGATTAATGAGATAATTAGATATGTTTGTGAAGCATCTACAGTTCTTTTTTTTTGTTTTATCCTCACCCAAGGACATTTTTGCATTCATCTTCAGATAGAGCGGGAGGGAGAGAGGGAGGAAGAGAGAGAGAGAGACATAGATGCAAGAGAGACACATTGAGTGGTTGCCACCCACAAGACCCCAACCAGGGTTGGGGACAAACTGCAACTGAGGTATGTGCCCTTAGCAGGAACCGAACCCGGGACTCTCTGGTGCGTGGGCCGACGCTCTAACCACTGAGCCAAACCGGCCACGGCTGCATCTACAGTTCTTGAAGAAGGTGCTAATAAATACAAAATACTATCTATTAAAGTTGGTTTATTTGCGGAAAAAAATGCAATGGGGAGATGGCAGTAGGTCACAGAATGTCATCAAAGGGTTTCCGTTCTCACTAGCTGGCCTCCACTGTTTATAGGCATATTTAAATAAACAACCAGGAGACAGGAGCCAGCTTGTTCTTTTCATTCACCCCAGCGGGTATTTACTGACCTCCTACTATTAGCTAGGCATGGTTCTGGGCAGTTGCACACAGGAGGTTGAGGGAAAGAATGTTCTATGTTGCTCAGTAATGGTCATTATATCGCAACATTTCTTGAGTGCTTATTCGATCCCTTGCACACTTAAGCCCTGTATGTACAGTGACATATATGAGCCTCAGAAATAACTTACAGACGAAGACACTGAAACACCAAGAAGTCAAGTAAGTTGATGGGTCTTGCTTTGTGTTAAAGACCCCGGGGAGAGAGCAGTTGGTGAGAGATGCCACGTTGAAGGAAGTCTTCCTGGACTGGTGTGGAGACTAAGCCAGATTAGTTAGGTTAATATTTACTAAAGAAAGTAATTTAAGAATTCTCCAGTAGGTTACTTTTCTCAGAAAGTGACTATTGATTTCCTTTTAGGAAGGGATCTTAGTTTGGCGTGTGCAGCTCTACTGCCACCTGGTGGCAGTTTCTGGGTACCACATGGGAGGAAGAGGTTATTTCTCATTTTCACACCATCCTTGCATGACAGGCTGAACCCAGCAGTGGGCGCTCTGGCCTGCTCTCCAACCACCATGCTCACAACAAGAGGAGAGAAAATTGTATTTCCTAGGAATTCTGAGTCACATTCTTTATCTCTTCAGCTTGACTCCAGGCCTTGTTTGAGGCAGGGACATAGTCTCCACCGTAAAAGGCCTGCGAGCTAGCTGTTTCTAGCCTAAGGTTACAGTCGGCAAGGGTGGGTAAGTCGTGGGACATGGATAAGAGCTCAGGCCTGCTTTTATTCCAAACTGGTGCATTTTTCCCCTGAAATTGACCACATCAGTGAATGTGAGCCATCCAGGTGTGTGTGGGGATGTGTGTGTGTCCACCTTAAAGTCACCTGTCTGGGCCGTAGAAGACCTGAGCTTTTATTCTAGTTCTGTCAGTTACTGGCTATATGGCCCTGGGAACATTCCTTTTCTTCAGTTTCCCCTTTTGCTTAATGGGTTGAATTTGATCTCTGGCATTTAGTTTTGTGATTATATATGTACCTGTACTTGGTCCTAAACTTTAGTTATGCTGGGTTTTATCCCTCCATCCATCCATCCATCCGTTCATCCATCCGTCCGTCCATCCATCCATCCTTCCAATCAATGATCTATTCATCCATTCAATCATCTGTCTGTCCATCCATTATCCAACCATCGTCTAACCATTCACCCGTGGAAGACACCTGGTTTGAAATACAGAATCCCGGGCACGATCCTTGATCTCCTGAATCAAAACCTGCTTTTAATAAGGTTCCCAGCTGACTTGTGGGCACTGTCACAATCTGAGAAGCTCTGTTCTAGATTCTAGAGTCCAGAGCATTTTTTCCAAAGTCAATGAGGAGATGGGGAAAAAATCCTAGAGAAAAGAGTAAGCCCAGGGTAGGAGGAACCTCCTCTCTTGAAGGCCTGCGGTCCTCCACTTTGGAAAGCACCAAAGGTATCTGTCCATCACCCTTTCTTTGACTTTGCTCTCTCCACACACCCCTCCAGACCCATACTGCCCGCACACCCTGGAGGGCTCACCCAGAGCGTCGAAGGCAGGCAGCACATCAAAAGTGACGCTCTGCGACCATGTGGACAGCCGGATGGCGAGCCCTCCGTGGGGCCTCTGCACCTCCATCTTGGCTGTCGGCTTCCTTTCACACTGACAAGCTTTCAGCTGCTCCCAGATTGTGTTGAGTATTTCATGTTGGCTTTTCTTCTGATCCCGGAATTGTCCCAGATCACTGGTGAAGATGACGAGGGTACCATCGGAGTTGCCCCTTAAGACTGTTTTCCGGCCATACGAGCCACCCTGCCAGCGACAGAGAAGCCGGTGTGAAACTCTGGACACTTTGGGGGGGTCACAGGGATCCCCAGTAGGCAGTAGTATTTCTCAACTTGAGCAAAAGCCCAGAATGTTACCATAGTCTTACAGTGGAGTGGCAGGCATCCATTTGTCCAACCAAAGACCAGAAAGCTCATAGCAATACTTTTCATACTAGCCCCAACCAGGGAAACATAAATGCCTTCAACACTTGAATGGACAAATGTGGTGTATCCACAGCATGGAATACTATACATCAGTGAAATGATAAACACCACCTGCCCATAACAGCAGACATTTCATAAACAGGATGGGTCAAAGAGACCACACACCAAAGCCACACAGGGCATGGATTCATTTATTCAGGGTGACCAACTGGTCTGCTGTACCCAGTATTAGTGTTGCAAGACCCATTTCCCAGAAAACCCCTCAGTTCCAGGCAAACTGGGGTGATTGGTCACCGTACATTTATATGAAATTAAAATACTGGCAAAACTGACCTCTGCTGTTAGGAGTCAGGGGCGTGGCTGTCCCAGGTTAGGGGTGGGGCCAGCACAGGGAGTGCAGGGGCTCTCGGGGGCTGGGAATGTTTTGCTTCTTGATCTAGGTGTAGGTCACAAATATCCATTGCTTGCGGCCACCCGAACGGACTGTACGCTTAGCTCCGTGCATTTTTCTCTTTGCATGTTCTATTTTCATTAGAAAATAAGTTACTATTGAGATAAGTTACTATCCAGCAGGATGGTGCTGAAGGGTGCGTGTTCCTACCTAGGTTTAACTCCCATCTCTGAGGCCAGCTACTAAATAACTTCTCTGTGCCTCAGTTTCCTCATCTGGGCCAACCAGGAGACACCAGCATCCAAGTGTCTGTACTGCTGGGCTCGTGGGTGTGTGTAAGCAGATCCTGGAAAGCACTGACCGCAGAGATGTGAGTCTCCAGCGCTGGAGAGCGTGGGGGTGGGGCTGGAGGGCCTCCCACCCCCTCCCTACCTGGGGTCCTGGGGACTTCCCAGCACCCTTTCCTCCCCAAAGGCCCAGAATCTTTAGCCTCAGCCCTGGGCTTTGTCCCACAGCACCAACCATTTCTAACTGGTGAGAGTCCCCAACAGCCTCCTGCTGGAAAAACCACAGAGCAGCGTTTGGGTAGTTTCACGGGAGCCCTTTAGCCTCAGTTTACTGCTCTGTCAACGGGGAGAGTAGAACAATAACAGGGAGAAACCACAGCTAACTTACAGAGCACTAACTATGTACCAGGTCCGGACGAAGAACGTTCTGTGCTGAAGCCTCATCACACGTTCAGATGGGTGTCATTCCTCTCGCACTTGACAGACTCAGAGACTGAAGCTCTGGGAGGTTAAGCGACCTGCCCCGGGGCACCTGGCAGTAAGGGGCAGAGCCCGCCCCGAGCCTGTGCTCCTAAACTCTGCACCACATCCATCCTCTCCCCGAGGGTGAGGAGGACAAGACAAGGTGCGGCACACCGGGGGTCCGGCACGCAGTAGGTGCTCAGCACCAGGTCACTCTGCCTTGCGATGACTCTCCCAGCTCCCAGGGGCCCCAGCTTGCCCTCCACTCACTTTGGCCACATCTATCGCCATGACTTCCTGCAGGGCGGCACAGATGGTGTCCACGGTCGCGTCGATCTGTTTCTGGCAGTGTTCAGAGGGCCTCAGCGAGGTCTGGACATACTCGCCCAGTTTCTGCGCCGGCACGGAGTACACAGTTTTGGGGTAGGCACCGAAGAGCCAGTTTTCCATTGCTGAGGGGCTGCTAAGGGCAGAGCAGGGAGCAGAGGAGACAGAGAGCCTGGGAGGAGTGAGATTCGAGGAAACTGAAACTCCCCAGCAACCCCAGCTGACTTCCTCCAACTGGAGTTCTGCCCCGCCCCTCAGCGCCGGTTACCTGATCCTGCCTTTCCCCGGGTCCTGAGGCGGAGTCCTTGTGGGGAAACAGGTAGCCTCTGGAGCCTGAGTATGAGGACTTCATACTTGCTAGACCTGTGTCCTTAGGCACACTGCCTGCTTTTTGTGCCTTGATTTCCCCGTCTGTAAAATGGGGATTCTCATTGGGTGAATGCGGGAATAAAAGTGTACCTGCCAAGTGCTTAGAACGGGCCCCAGCAGATGGCTCTGTATGTGTTTGTCAAGCTCATACCATTTCATAGAGGCAGAGGTCGTGTTCTGAAGCTCTTTCTCCCTCTTCCTGTTCCCAGTGACCTGAGAACTCAGACTCTGAGAGCAGCAAGGAGAAAGAAACCCAGAGAGGTGATCGACAGGCTCAGGGACGCATAAGACAAGGGCTGAGCTGGACTCAGTGGTCAGTGGGCGGGAGCTTCCATGTGCCCAGTTCCTTAGCACACATGGAAACTTACAGGCCCCCATCAGGTGCTTACCCCACCCGGCAAGGACAGAAAACAGGCTCAGAAGCACACAGCTCGGAGGGGAGATAGATGGGCCATGCCTGTGTCCAGAGCTATGAAAATGAATCTCCCAGTGACTATCTCTGTGACACAGAACCAAACATCCCCATCTCTGGGAAGAACAGAGCCCTTCTCTGCCATGATGACTGATTTTGTGTGTCAACTTGACTGGGCTGTGGTACCCAGATATGTGGTCAACCATTATTCTAGATCTTTCTGTGAAAGTATTTTAAAGATGAGATTAACATTTAGATCAGTGGACTTTGAGTAAAGCTAATTACCCTCTAGGGTGGGCCTCATCTAATCAGTTGAGGGTCTTTATGTAAACAAGACGGACTTCCCTGGAGGAAGAGGGAATTCTGCCAGCAGATGGCCTTTGACTGGAGTTGCATCAGCTCTTCCCTGGGTCTTCCCCCTGCCAGCCTGCCCTGCCGAATTTGGACTTGCCAACCTCCACAATAGCATGAGCTAGTTTCTTAAAATAAATCTCCAGATCTAGATCTCTTACTGGTTCTGTTTTTTTGTAGAACATTGACTCCCACACCTGCCCATTGAGGGTCCTTCCCTCCCCTTACCTGGAACACCTAGGGATCAGCTGGGCAGGGGTCAGAAGCCACCTTGTTTAGGTGAGGACACAGAGGCTCAGAGAGGTAGAAACATTTGCCGACGGTCGCACAGCTAGTCAATGGTCTGGCTAGGTTCTGACACCACACTAGCTGTTTCCAAAGTCTGTGCTTTATTTTTTTTATTTTTTAAGAAGATTTTATGCTGAAACAATTTGAAATACTGAGACAATTTGCAAGAAGAGTACAAAGAACTCCCCTATACCCTCACCCAGAATATGTCACAATGGACCCTCATTCTGCAGGGACATCTCATCAGTATCCTCACTACAGAGCCACTGGGGACCATGTTGCAGATACAAACCCCTCTCCTCTTTAAAAAAAAAAAAAAATACTCTAGTGCTTTTTTTAATCCTCACCCGAGGATATTTTTCTGTTTATCTTCAGATAGGGTGGGAGGGAAGTAAAGAGAAACAGTGACGTGAGAGTGACAGACACGTCATCTTGGCTGCCTCCCCCACGACGCCGGCCCCTAGTGGTACTGCAGCCGAGGTCCGTGCCCTCGACCGGAACCCAACCCGCGACTATTGGTTTGTGGGCCGATGCTCTAACGCTGAGCCAAGCTGGCCACGGTGATACTTTGGTTTTTAGAGCACTTTCAGGTTCACAGCAAAGTTGGGCAGAAGGCTCAGAGATTCCCTGTGTACTCCCTGCCCCCCCACACGCACAGCCTCAGGGTGGGACAGCTGTTACAATCGATAACCCTGCAGTGACACACCATGATCACCCAGACCTTCCTCTTTAATACTTCCATGTGTATCCCCTAAGAACAGGCTGCTTCCCCTCCGTGCCCTGGTCCGCCGGCTGGGATGGACCCCGCGCCCCACCCACGAGGTGCCCACAGCGCCCTGGGCGGGGCGCAACCATTCGCTTCTCAGACCTCCCGCCGCCGGAGCCCTGCCTGGAATCAGATTGTTCCCACGGAGCACGCAGAAGCATCCCCTGCAGCGCGGACGGCCGGCGGCGAGTCCTGGGAGATGCTGGCGGGGTCCCGGGTGTGGGCTCCGGCTCCGCGGGGGCGAGGCGGTGGCGCTGGCCCGGCGGCAGCAGCTTCCTGCCCTCTGACTCCGCCCGCGGGACACTGGTCCGGTGGGGGCCCGCCGGACGGAACCCCTTTCTCCTGGAGCGCCCTTCCCTGCTGGTTCTTGTCTAAGGGGGGCGCTGTCACTGGGCTGGGGGTCAGGAATGCCTCCCGCATGCACCTGGTGGGTTCGCCCTGGAGGGCAGAGAGAAACAGGCCGGGCAGCGTTGCTGGGCATTGCTCCCGTTTGGGCGCTGGGGATGGAGGGCCCCACTGTGTGTTGCAATAGGGCAGGAGGAAGACAGGAACGCAGTCACGGTCCAGGAAGGCAAGAAGGGCGTGGCATTCAGATGTGCAAACTGGGGGACGAGTGACGTGGGAAGGGAACAATAGGAGGCCTCCAGGGAAAAGGCTTCCGTGGAAGTGTCCAAGGAGAGGGACTGCATGACAGGCAGGCCCCCGCCCCTCCGTCTGTCCGTGGCAGACAAAAGTAGCCGATCAGGGCATGCCGTGCTTCCCGCTGCTGAGCTCAGAGCTGCTCGGTAGCCCAGACATGCATGTCCCGCAGGTCTCAGCACTTCTTCCTCTACGCGGGCCAGACATTGCTAATCAATCATGGCACTCGAGCCACTACTGGCCTCTACTGCATCTATGGCAGACATCACTAATTGATTAGGCCACTCTTCCCAGCTAGGTATCCATTCTTCAGACTCTTTTAAAACACAGGGCTCCAGACAGCCGCGACCAACTGAGTGTGGCTGAAAAATGAGATGAAGACCACCATCCCTGTGAAAAGTTCTTGGACTGGGGGAAAAGGAGCAGCCACTGGGAGGTCAGAGACGAGTGGCAGCAGGAGGAAGGATGAGCGGAGAGAAGTCAGGGAGCAGGAGGACCTTCTCCGCAGGGGCGGGATGCATCTGAGACTAGAGTCACCAGAGAGTGATGGAGAAGCTGGAAACCCGGGCTGGGGCCCACCCATGAAGGCTGGACTCCAGTGTGTAGGCCAAGGGAGAGTGTTTGAGATGTGCGGTGCCCAGTGGATACAGGGGGGACTCAGTGGGGCTAGGCAAGCAGAGCGGGCTGCTGGGAGGAGAGCAAGGTGGTCTCTCTCTCTCTCTCTCACACACACACACATCTGGCAGGTGATCCTGAGTCTCCCCACACAGAGGGCTGGTGTCTATCTGTCCATCCAGTATAACCACGGATTCTCTGGGCTTCACACAGCAGCCTGGGGAAGGTTATAGAATATGTTGGTTACCTGTAACCTTCCTAGAGAAGCTGAGACGATGTGAACAGACAGGACATGGAGGCAGGGGGCACATCTGGGCCATGAGTGGGCCCTGCCCCTTTGGGAGGAGTCACGCCCCTCCCCAGATCACACCGCTTCCTGCCGACCACAGGTCTCTGACCTTCACTGGCCATGGCTGGACGGGGGTACCATCTTTGTCCATGCAGCACAGGGCAGATATGTAGGCTGCAGCTTCCCTGGCCAGCAGGTCCCAGCGGGCATTGTGGCCCAGGTTGCCTGTCGGGTCAGCCGGATCCAGGATGATGGGCCTGCAACGTTCATCCAAGGTCAGTCTTATTCCTGGCAACATCTGGGTATCCACCTGTGGAATTGCTTGAGCTATTCTGCCCCTCACCCAATACTTTGCAGGGGGCAGGGGCAGGGCCCAGGGGCTCCTCCATGCTCCAGGCACACACTTGAGGGCAGGATGGAAAAGAAGCTCTACATGGACTCTTTCTGCTTTCTGTACCCAGGGCAGACATAACTAATCGATCGCAGTGTTCAGGCCGTGCTGCCCTCCTGCGCGTAAAGCAGGCATTGTTAATCAACCACAGCCCTGCACTCTCCGTACATCTGTGGTCACTAACTGATGAGGTCACTCTTTTCAGCTGAGCCAATTCACAACCTCAGCGTCTTTTTCAACACATCACTCTAAGGAGCCACTATTCACCGACTGGAAATGCATCACAAGCTTGAGAAAGCATCTCTTCCCTCGGTGGCCCCTCAGAGGTGGGCAAAACCCCAAAGAATGAGACATGCATGGGTTTAGCAAATACATATAGAAGATGCCCAGTTAAATTTGAGTTTCAGGTAAACAATGAATAAGGTGGTTCTTGGTTTGTTTTTCTTTTTCATCCTCACCTGAGGACATTTTTTGCATTTATCTTCAGAGAGAGCGGGAGGGAAAGAGGGAGGAAGAGAGAGAGAGAAACATCGATGTGAGAGAGACACATCGAGTGGTTGCCACCCACATGACCCCAACCAGGGCCAGGGACAAACTGCAACCGAGGTACGTGCCCTTAGCGGGAACCGAACCCGGGACTCTCTGGCCCATGGGCCGACGCTCTAACCGCTGAGCCAAACCGGCCAGGGTGGTTTGTTTTTTAAAGCATAAGTATAGCCCTGGCCGGTTTGGCTCAGCGGTTAGAGCGTCGGCCTGCGGTCCTGAGAGACCCGGGTTCGGTTCCGCTAAGGGCGCGTACCTCGGTTGCAGTTTGTCCTCGGCCCTGGTCGGTTGTGCGGGTGGCAGCCACTCGATGTGTTCCTTTCACATCGATGTTTCTCTCTCTCTCTCTGTTCCTCTCTCTCCCTCCCACTCTACCTGAACAAAAAAATGGAAAAAATGTCCTCTGGTGAGGATAAAAAAAATAAAATAAAAAAAATAAAGCATAAGTATACCCCAATGGCTGCATGGGTCATTCTTATGCTAAAAGGTTATTCATTGTTTATTTGAAATTCAAATTTAACTTGGAGTCTTGCCTTTCATCTGGCACCCTATTCACAGGTGACCAGGAACCGGATGGCCAGTCCCTCAGCTGCTAAGGGTGTCACTTCTAGGAAGAAACTCAGCCCTAGCAAGAGGATTTCCTGTCTCAGCTCTGTGCCCTCAGGAGGTGGGGAGAGTGATCTTGGATCGGAGACTCAGGGGTCGGGTGGGTCTGCACCTGGGTTTCTGAAGCTGCAGCTTCAGGAAGTCTTTGATGCTCTCGTCCTCCCAGCTGTAGTTGACGGTCCAGTAGACGCAGAGCTGGCGGTACTGGGTGACCAGCTCCAGGACGGTGCGAAAGCCCTGGGCCATGTTGAACTGGGGGTCCTGCCCACCCTGCTCCCAGGCGTACACTGTGAGGAGTTCCAGCCCGTGCTGGGGGGGCAGCGAGCCCTTCCCTTTGGGCATCTTGTTGCACTAAGAAACGAGGAGAAAGATGATGTATTGGTCCATAATGGCAATGAAGAGAAGCCAGCAAACCCACCCTGCAACTTTATTTTTTATTTTTTATTATTATTTAATCCTCGCCCAAGGACATCAAGTGGCCGCCACCCGCACGACCAACCAGGGCCGGGGACAAACCACAACCGAGGTACGCGCCATTAGCGGGAACTGAACCCGGGTCTCTCTGGACCGCAGACCAACGCTCTAACCGCTGAGCCAAACCGGCCAGGGCACCCACCCTCCAACTTTAACTGAGCACCGACTCTGCCAGACGCCTTGCCCTGCCCTATCCCGTCAACTCCTGTGACATAGTAATGTCAGCCCTGTATACAGACAAGGAAACGCAGGTCCCCTGCCAGGAAAAACCTCTTTCTGCTCCACCACCCCAGGACTGGGCCTGCCCCCTCCCAGGAGAGTGCCCCGGTGGCCCGCCTGTGTGCCGAACCTGCTGGTACCAGTGCTTCACCAGTCGGATGAGACTCTTGAGCTTGGTGGGGCGGGAGACGATGAAGTCCCTCTGCAGCTCTGTGAAGCAGCAGGCGTACTCGCCTGCGTTGTTGTAGCTGCGGATGAGGTCCACGTAGACGTGAGCGGGGGGCTTGGAGCCAGAGCCCAGCTGGCCTGCAGTCAGGGAGAACGACACCCTCACTTCATTTCCCAGAGTCACAGCGGGGCCCACGCAAGGGCTTCTGAGACCTCCTACTCAGGGGTTCCCTGGAGGGGTCCCACCGGGAGGCCACGGGTGTTTTTAGGTGGAGCACAGATGTGGCACGACCCGGAGCAGCATCCCTGGTGAGGATCTGACCCCCTTCTCTGCCTCCTTTCACCCCACCAGTAAACGGACCATGAAGAAAGTCTCAGCTCGAAGCTAACAAAAGGAGGGCTCAGTCTTAGAGCCCCTGCAGGTGGCGGAATTGTATGCGCCGGGAGCTAATGTCACTCTGGTCCCAGGGCACTTAAGGACACTCCGTGCCATCCGAGCTCTCGCTCTCTGAGCCGAGGAACTGAGCAGATTCAGGTACAGTTCTGGATCAATCCCTCCCTTGCTACTTGTTTTGCAAGATGCAGGAACCAAACACATTGAGATGCAGGGGATTTCCTTGCCGTGCAAACATGCCGTCCAGACTCAGAACCGAGTGGATACAGAGAGACTTGTGTCTGTTTTGTGCAGGGATTTTCCCCTCTGTGCCTGGAAGTGTGCTGGGCGTGTAACAGGTACACTGATGATTGGACTGATGGAATGGGTCTGTGGGGAGGCACACTGAGACACTGTGATGTCCTCGTTGTCAGATGAAGACACTGTGGCTCAAGGTAGAGGAGTCCCTCGCTCAGGGTCATCCAGCATGCGGGTGGGATCGAGGGACCCAGAGCCCAGCTCAGGGCCGTGTTCGCCCATGTAGCACGTTTGTGTGAATTAGAAAAAGGTGTGCTTTTCTCCAGACACTTGGCAGGGAGCTGCGAGGCACACACACCTCTACAGGCCTACGAAGCGAACGGGCCCGCACCTCTGCCACCGTCCTGGCAGCCCCGCCCCGCTTCCCCCCTTCTCGCCGCGGCTCCTCACCCAAGGCGTCAAAGGCCGGCAGCACGTCGAAGTCCACGCTCTGGTCCAGCATCGTCGGGGAGGTCAGCGAGAAGCTCAGCACACGGGGATTCTCCCACTTGGAGATCTCGAACTTCACGTCAAACTGCAGCTCCTGCTTACACGCCTCCAGCTGGGCTCGGATCTCCGAGATGATCTCAGCGCGATTGCTCCCCTGCTCGGTGAACTGGCTGAAGCAGGTGAGGAACACCACCAGGTCGGCGTCCGAGCGGCCTTGCAAAGCTGTCCCTTTTGCAGAAGAGCCACCCTGGGGAGAACGTGGCAAACAGCCCTGAAGTCCTGCCTGATGCCCTCCTGCCAGAGCCTATGGGCTCTGGATTCTGAGTTAAGAACTTGCTGTGTGACCTTGGGCAAGTCACCTAACCTCCCTGTCTTAGTTCTCTAATATGGGGTTACTACATGGCATAGTGGTGAGAAAAAAAAATGTGCAGGACATAAGTTTCAACCCTTCCACACATGCAAAATTTCTCATTGCATCGTGTTTGGGGGCTGGGAGGGATCTGGGAATGTTCTTTTTTCTTTCTTTTCTTTTTCTTTTGCTTCAGGCCTGCAGTTGATTCTCATGCCTGTCTGCATCAGGAGAGTCTTACAAAAATGATTGGTGCCTGACTCTTATGTCCCTGAGGCTGTGTTTTAATTTTCCAGGGAGGAGGCTTAGGCCTCAGTATATTTCTTAAACGCTTCCCTGTGATTCCAAGTGAAGCTGCAGTTGAGAACCAGTGAGTCGGCTACTGTCCTCAAGTGTTATGGATGAGGAAAGCAAGGATCAGAGAGGGGCAGGTATTTGCCTGGGGTCACACAGCAAGTCGCCAGGCCTAGGGCTTGTCACTGGCTGACTCTATGCTGACACTCTTTCCAGAGTTGACCCATGTCTCCTGTGACTCCCATTATGAACCAAGGTCATATCTGGTGCTGCAGGTAATGTGACCTTTTATATACCCCCAGCATCCTTTCCGCCTTCTGGGATCAGCAATGGGTTTTCTTTGGGGGAATCACTCCACCCATGAGGTCCACATAGGGCTGACTCCACCATATGACCCACACTTGGCCAGTTGGCCCATGATGTCTCCCTAGCCCTAGTGATGGGTTAAGGCATAGATCGCCAGGCCAGTGAAACGTAACTCCAATATTTCTTTGAATTTTGAGAAAAGATAATTCCTCTTTTTAGAATCTTAGAGATGTCAAGGACCATCATATGGACAGGGCCCATCCAAGACAGAAGAAGACAGAGCCAAGAGCTAGGAAGAAAAGCGGAGTCCTGATGACCCTGCATGGGCTTCTGGATCTAGCCGTGCCTGAAGGCAGTCTGTTCCAGGGCCTTCCATTTACATCAGCCAACACATTCCCTTTGTTGCTTCTTTTGAGTTACCTGTCACAATCAATCAAAAGAAACTCCTTGGGCGTATATGGCCATTGTTGGGCCATCTACCATGCCCTCGCACTGTTGGTGGCCCTGCGCTGTGGCTGCAGGGGTCACAGAAGCGGGTCAGGCCTAGTCCAGGGCTAGACGAGATCACCAGCCGTCAGGAGCCTCTTGGCCCACGGCTCCCTGGGAACTCACCTTGACCACCTTGAGCACTTTGGTGGGAGAATTCCGGAAGCAGTTCTCCCTCAGGAAGGAGCAGATGGTATCAACAGCCTTGGCCACCTGATCCAGGAACTGTTGGTTGGGCTGGAGCAATGCACTGATGAACTTGTCAAGGTCGCTGGCTGGGGTTTGGCGAAGGAGAGTGGGCTGCGGAGAGAGCGCGGGAGGGGCCAGCTCGAGACAGGTTCCCTGTGAACACCCAGGCCCTGCCCCTGGTCGTGAGAACGAGACCTCCCCTTATCTCCTACAGCTCCCTGTTCTTCTCAGCCGGTTGGCAGCTCACCAGAGGGACCAGAGTTCAAGTTCGGGTTCCACCACCACCGCCCAGCCTCAGTGTCCCCATCTTTAAAGGAGGCCCCTGCCTCACTGGATGGTCTCGAATGTTAAACACTGGTTATGAGATTCTGCTGCGAAACAGCAAATGCGATGGAAGCTGTCCTTTGGGGAGCTGCAAATGGCCTCCGTCATGAGTGGGCTCCCAGAAGCAGTGCCAGGGATTCTTGTCATGTGATAAACTGCGACAGGGCTTCAGGGGAAGAAAGTGGGGGGAGCAGGAGAGGGTGAGGGAGGCTCCGCTGTGGAAAGCTTTTTCCGAACCCCAGAGGGGGCTCTGGGGCAGGGATTACATTACAGAGCTGGTCTTGCCTTGCAGCAGGGTGGGCCTTTATTTTTATCCTCACCCGAGGACATTTTTGCATCTATCTTCAGATAGAGCGGGAGGGGGAGAGGGAGGAAGAGAGAGAGAGAGAAACATTGATGTGAAAGAGACACACTGACTGGTTGCCACCCACACGACCCCAACTGGGACGGGGACAAACTGCAACCGAGGTACATGCCCTTAGCGGGAACCGAACCCGGGACTCTCTGGTCCACAGGCTGACACTCTAACCGCTGAGCCACACCGGCCAGGGCAGGGTGGGCCTCTTGTGCGCACGTCATTCAAGCACTGGCCGGGATGGAACCCGTGCCTTGGCTGTATTGGGCATTCAGCACCCCTAGCAGCTGGGGATGTGGGCACCAGCAGGGAAAGGGGATCTGGGATGGGGCACCCACAGCGTCCTTCCCCTCTGGGACCCACCTCTTACCATCACATCCCAGGGTGGCACGGGCGTCCCTTCGCTACTCGTAATGCAGGCCTGCGTCTCCAGGGCTGCCGCTTCCCGGGCCAACAGCTCCCAGCTGCCCTGGCCCACGTTCCAGGTGGGGTCGGCAGGGTCCAGGATCAAGGGCCTGGGGCAGAGCAGGTGGGCCGGCAGGTGGGAAAGGTGAGAGTCAGTAAAGGAGCAGGGGGTGGAGAGATTGGGAAGTGTTGGGGGCTGGGGAGAGGGAGAAGAGGGTCAGCACTTTAGGGCTGGTGCAATCTCGCCCAAGCACAGTAGGGTCCCTGCTTGGCCACCTCGGTCTGAAGGCTATCGGCTGGCTCCTTAATTTGAGATCTGGTGTTGTATTGTGGTAGTAAAACTGGCCCTTGTCCTGGCTGGTTTGGCTCAGCGGTTAGAGCGTCGGTCCGCGGAACAATGCGTCGCGGGTTCCATTCTGGTCAAGGGCACGCGCCTCAGTTGCCGTCCATCCCCGTTGTGCGGGAGGCAACCAATCGATGTGTCCCTCTCGCGTCGATGTTTCTCTCTCTCTCCCTCTCTTTCCCTCCCTCCCACTCTATCTGCAGATAAACAGAAAAATATCCTCAGGTGAGAATAAAAGGAAAAAAAACACTGGCCCTGGCTTCCTTTGGGGCTCACTGAGACCATGCTTCCTCAGCAAAGAGTCCAGACGGAAGCAGAGTGACAATGGGGACCCCTCCTGGATAGTGACTCCGGGGTGACAGTGGGGGGAAGGATGATGCAGAGCAGGAAACAAGGTAGAGGGTCTGCACCTGGGTTTCCGAAGCTGGCCAAGAAGGTGCGTTCTGAGAGCTGGGTCCTCAAAACTATAGTTGACTGTCCAGAAGACACTGAGCTGCTGGTGCTGCTGGACAAGCCTCAGGACGGTCCTCAGGCCTTCGGCCATGCTGAAACGGTCCTTCCCGCATCCCTGCTCCCAGGCGAAGATGGTCAGGAGCTCCAGCGCAAAGGCCGGGGGCAGAGAGGCACAGGCGGGCCGTCCTCCTTCGTTCTGGGCGGCCACCTATGTCCCCCACATCAAAGAGTCAGTGGCGTGAGCACCTGCTGCATGCCAAGCATAGCCCTACACCCTTGGAGAAGAAGGGGAAAACTATTTTTAAAAAAGACCACAGGAAGAACAGAACCTTGGGGATGGCCTGACTCACCCTTCTCATTATACGTGAATAAACTGAGCTCTATAGTACGGCGATAGTGACTCGTCCAAGGTCACACCGTGGGAACAAGAAGGCTCAGCCTTGGTCTTTGCCCAGAGTCTTTCTGAGGGCATACGGGGTGGTCCTATAGAACTGGGGTCTGTGACACATTCCTCTTGGCATTACAAAACACCCATCACAAGTTAGCAAATAGTGGGTGCTCAGTAGATGTTGGCTGAATAAATGAGTGGATGCAGGAGAGTTGGCATTCAGAGGAGTGTTTGCTGAGGGAACTCTGAAGGATGCTCAGGAGTTCGCCTATCTTGCAAAGATGGTGGTGAAGGAACAACATCAGCAAAGGCTTAGAGGTGAGGAGGAATAGGGGAAAGCAGTAGCACCGGGAGAGGAGAGATGGCTAGAGAGGGGCGGTGAACCCTGGCCACAACACATGAGGATTTGGGGACTTGATGGAGAAAAGATTCTCAGCCAGGGGCTTCTGGGTCTGGGCAGGAAATGAAGCATGGTGGAGGAGGTGCTTCTGCTTGGGAGGGCCAATAAAAAGCAACGGTGGAGTGCTGTCTGTGTAGGGGAGGAGCCATGACAGTGACTGTTTCCTGGGAGGAGCAAGAGGTACTGATGCCTCACCTGGCGGTACCAGTGCTTCACCAGCAGGATCAGGTTCTTCAGCTTGACTGGGCGAGTGTTCACGAAGTTCCTCCGCAGCTCTGCGAAGCAGGCCGCGTGCTCACCGTCCTGGCAGCCGCTGTCCAGAAGGGTCGAGTAGATCTGGGGGTCAGGTTTGGTGCCGGAGCTGAGCTGCCCTGTGGATGTTTGAAAGATGCTGAGTATGCATTTCTAATTGAAGACAGTAGCTTTTCCCAACCCAGGCCCTCACCAGCCTTTAATAGTTTAACATTAATTATATAACATTGCAACAAATAATACACAATCTATAACACAGACTCACAATCAGAACTAGTATTATTTTTAGCAGCAAATGTGTACTGGGTGCTTTTCAATAATTTTCACCCCATAACTTAGCAAGGTGTATAATCTTGAACGCAAACAAGCTATGTAGCCACATGATTAAGAGAATGAACTTTGGAGATGAGACAGGCCTGGGTTCAAATGCTAGCTGTGTGATCTTGCCTTTCGGGGCCTCAGTTTCCTCATCTGTAAAAGGGGATAGCAGATAACATCTACCTCAGGAGGTTATGGTAAGAACCAAATGAAATCTACAAGTAAAGTGCTTAGGACATGCTTAGAATATAACATGTGCTTAACAAACATAAATTATTGGTGGTCCTAATATTATCTTCCAGAAGAGGGAACCAAGGCCCAGAGAGAAAACTGAAATAAGTCCCAACCTCTCTTCTTAAGGCTAGCACCCTGGAATAGATGCCTTTTCCACAAAAAGCGACTAGAAAAGGTGACCATCTGACAGAGAGAGGCTTCAAGAAAGCTTGCTGCCATGGCTCTATTGGGGGAGGGGGGTGCTGAAAAGAAAAATCCCCCCTGAGAAACTGAGGCCAGACCCCATGTAGGTGTGAAGTCGAAATTTATAGTATTTTCCCAGTGAGGAAATTCCAGGCTATTACATTGTTGTAAAACCGGCCTGGGAATTAGCAAAACCCTTGGGGCTCAGCTAGAAGCCAAATAAAAACCGGGTTCCCTGAGGATATTTCTCTAACCAGAGCAGAAGCAACTTCCACAGGAAAGAGAAAGAAAATAAAAGTTCTACACACTCCGAAGATGAGCTCACAATAAAAAATTACAAACCACGTGAGAGAATGATCCACCATGAGGGACAGTCAGGCAACACAACAAATAAGAGAATGAACACTTCAGGAATTTGAGAAAATAGGCCTATCTAAGGGACTAAAATAAGCATAATTAAAATAATTAAAGAGATAAAAAGAGACTGAAGCTACAATGAAAATATAGGAGCCTATGAGCAAATAACAGGTTGTAATTCAGAGCAGAAGATTCTGATATTCCACTCATAAATTGATAGACCAAATAAGCAATAAGTAAGTACTATAGATCCAAACAAATATCATGAGCTAGCTCTGAAGGACCTGTACAGAAGCCAACTCTCAACAACGGAAAGCCTGCATCCTTTACGACCATGGGGAACCGAGGAAGTGCCAACAAATTCCAGAGAATTGATATTTTGGGGGTATGTTTTCTAACTACAGTTAAAAATAGAATAAGACTACACAGGAAATATAGCCAATAATATTGGAATAAGTATGTATGTTGTCAGATGTATACTAGGCTGATCAGGCTGAACACTTCATATGGTATGTGTACACATGTCTATGTTGTACTCCTGAAACTAATATAATACTATACATCAACTATAATTTGAAAAAAAGATAACTAAATGTCCAAGGCACACAAATGAACAAAAGACCAAAACATCCATTTGGAAACCCACTTCCAAATATTCAGGGGTGAAAGAACAAATCATAATGTCATAATTAAAAGTACAGAATGTTTAGCCCTGGCCAGTTTGCCTCAGTGGTTGGAGCGTGAGCCACGGGTTCGGTTCCTGCTAGGGCAATGTAACAACAACAAAAAAAAAACAGTAAAAGAAAAGTACAGAATATTTAGACCTAAAAGAGCGATACTAAAAATTATAAATATAAAGCATTTGCAATGCACCTGATGTGACACTTTAGAGGAACGTGTATAACCTTAATTGCACTTGTGAAGACTTAGATTTAGCTAAATAAGTTAGAAAATTAACCGTAAACTCTTCAAAATAAAAAAGAAAATGGCATGTAATTTCTTAAAAAAAATAAAATCCCAAGCTGATAAGGAGAATTATTAACACTTGTTACATCGTAATCGGAGTACATGGGTGTGTGATGTCTAGTTTTCTGAACGTTTGAAACATTATTAAGAGTTTTGCAAAGTGAAAAGCACTACATAGTTATGAATTGATGATGAGGATGACTTTAGGTAATCATGGTAGTTGCCAGAGCTTGGTGAAGTAGGGGAATTAGGGTCACAAAGAGGGTTGCAAGCGCCCCATGAGATGCTCCCTGGTCCCTCTGAGCACAAGCTGGGCACCCTCACCCACGGCATCAAAGACGGGCAGCAGGCTGACATCCACCCAGCTTTTGAGGGCCGAGGACACTAGCTGAAACCGCAAAGCCTTGGTCGTGGTCTGCGCTGCAAACTTCAGGGTCAGGCCGGGTACCGGCTCCTGCCCACAGGACTCCAGCTGTGCCCGCAGGTCACGGAGGACCTCTGCGCAGAGGGGCCCCTGGTCCTTGTAGTTCTTGAAGCAGTTGAGGAAGACAATGAGTTCGGCATCACAGCCACCCCTCAGGTCTGTGCCGCGGCCGAATGAGCCCCCCTGCGGAGAAGAGACCATCTCAGACTAGTAACTCTGAGCCCGGGAGTCCGACTGTGACCCCGCCAGCAGCCCCCCGTCTGCAGCCCTGAAACTGCCCTCTCACTGATAGTAGCCCTTGGGGACCATGACAGATGCAGGCTGCATAAACCCTGTGACCTCTGACCATCAGAAGCCTGGCGGAGTCAGACTACATCTGCCCGCATCCGTCCACCGACCCATGAAGCCTGCCCAAGGTCAGACAATATGCAGCCGCAGATAAGAGGGGTGGTTGGGGATGAGGGGCGAAGTCGGGGCAGTGGTCAAAGATTTTTAGCCAAACATCTGCAGCACCTACTGACTGCACATCTGGATCACAGGTTGTAAACTGGGGTCCTGGGCCCCATAGGGGTCTGCAGAGGTACTCTGGCCTGTTTCAATCAATCAATCAATCAATCAATCAATCAATCAATCAAACAATCCACCCATGCATGCATTCATTCAGGCATTCAACAGATATTTATTGTGCAATTGCATATATGGGTATGGGAGGGGATAACATTACTTATTCTCCTGGAACTTATATTGTACCAAGAGAGAGGGAGGGGGAGGGGGAGGGGAGGCAGGGACCATCAGAAAACAATGGCCGCCCTACGTGGAGGCCAAGAATAAGGGACCTGCAGTGGAGCGGAAGTTGTAACTGTAACTCGAGCAGTCAGTCGGGCCTCCTTGATCAGGGGACGTGGATCATAGACTTAAAGGAGGAGAGGGAGAGAGCCAAGTGGATGGGGAAGAACATTCCGGAAAGAGGAAACAGGCAGCGGGGATGTGGTGTGCCTGGTGAGCTCAGGAAGCAGTCAGGGGGCCGCCATGGAGTGAGTAAGGGTCAGAGAGAGACCGGGGCCAAATCCCACGGGCCTTGAGGCCACTATGCTCTGACACCCTGGAGGATTTGGGGCAGAGAAGGAAGTGATCTGACTATGGTAACGGTGATTAAAAAAAACTCATTGAAAAGAAAAAGCAGCTAGTCTTAAATACATCCCTCCAGCCAGCAAACCGCCCTCCAAGGATGTCTACTTCCTTGGTCCCCCCTCAGCTGTATCTCTCCGACGTCTTCCAGGCCCCACTCTGGTCCCTCCGACAGGGTCCCCGCAGTGTCTCCACCTGCCCGACTCACCTTGCTGGCTCTGGAAGCCTTGTGGGCGCCGTTCTCACGGAGGCAGCTCAGGATGACGTCGAAGGCCTTGCTCACCTGCTTCTGGAACTGGGGTTGCGGCTTGAGGTGGTCCTGGATGAAACGATCCAGCTCCCTGGCGGGGATCTGGGACAGATCCGAGACCACCTCCAGGGCACAGGGGGCGATGGCGGCCACCACTGAGGGGTCGGGGTCTGGGCATGAGGGCTGCCCGTTCCCCGCCCTGGGGTGCACGGCATCAAGACTGCTGCTGTCCTCGGGGGTCTTCTGGGCAGGGTCTCGCAGGATGGGGGGAGCAGTGAGCGGAAGGCCCTAGAAGTGTGTTGAAGAAGCCGTCTCACACGGGCAACGGTTTCTACGTTCCTTCCTGGGCCAGCCCCCTCCCGTCCTATAGTCAGGGTGACTGAGGCTTCAAGAGGGGGAGGGAGAGGTGGCCCATATGACACCTCTGTGTGCATTAGAACAGGTGTGTTTATGAAGGGGATAGATTATAAAAAGGTCCCCCTGTGGTGGGCAAACTCAGGTTGGTAAGCAGATAGTAACTACACAGAGATTGGGGATTAGATTGTTTTACATGCCTGCGGTCCCCACCTTTTCAACTCTGTCCCACGTCCCCTGGCCCCCAGTGCACAGCAGATGCTCAGAAAATACTGAGCACGTACATTAGGTGTAAAACCCAAGGATACCAGGAGCCCCGCACTCACCGGCACCTCCCAGGGCTGCACAGCGCCCCCTGCTGCCTGCAGAAAACATGGGCTGTCATAGCAGGACTCTGCCTCTCGGGCCAGCAGGTCCCAGTGCCAGGCTGCCCCGTTCCCCACGTCCCACGTCGGGTCAGCCGGGTCCAGGATCACGGGCCTGCCAACCAGAGGGACAAGAAGATTCTGGTTAGCACGGTGCTCAAGACGACGGGCTCTGGAGTGAGGCTGACCTGGTCACAACTGCTGCTTTCCAGCCGTGTGACCAGAGGCAGGCGACTGACTTCCCTGAGCCTCGGTTTCCTCATTTTCAAAATGGGGATGACAGCCCTGCCTGATGGGATAGGCCGGTGCCGAGATCGAATGAGCGCAACGATCTTCAACTCCAGCTGCACGTTAGCATCGCAAGATCCCAGGACCCAGCCCTGGGATCTCTGAGTGACACCCTATGGCTTAGCAATTGCATGCGAGGTAGAAGTCCAAGACTGACGTGCGTCCGCTGAAATACGAGGCCGTTGATCACAGCCCTCTTTGTAACAGCCCCAGAGTGGGCACCAGCCAAAGACACGTCATGAGTGGGATGGAAAACGTACTGCGACAAAGTCACACGATGTGGCACTAATCAGCAGTGGAAGAGAAGGAGCCACAACTGCAGGAATCTCAAAGACTCCATTGGGACGGAGAAGGCAGACACAGTAGTCCATGCCGTGGGGTTCTGTCTCAATGGTACAAAAGCAGAGCTGGAATGAGAACAGGCAGAGTGGGGTTCCCTCTGGGAGCGGCACCAGGGAAGGTCCTGGGTGCTGGAATATTCTGCCTGATCAACTAGGGGTTTCACAGGTCTGGTCGCTTCAGTGGAAGTTATCAAAATGTGTTACATGTCACTAAAACGTTTGTGCACAAAACAGGTGGTGTGTTGTTTCTCTGTGAAACGCCCCCAAGTAATTCTCATTGGCTTCTGGGGCTGAATCCACTGAATGTCACATTGATGCTGGCTCTCACTGGATAAGACCTGTTTTATCAGCTAATTGTCTCCCCATGGCGCAGGCACAGGGAAGCGGGGGGTGGGGTAGTAGGAGGTACCTAGGTCTGTCAAGCTGGCGAAGCAAGAACTTCTTAACTGCAGGGTCCTCGAAGCCGTAGTTGGTGGTCCAAAACACTCGCAGGTGCTGATGCTGCTGTATCAGGCTCAGGACGGTCCGGAGGCCTTGGGCCAGGCTGAAGGCATCCTTCCCACAGCCCTTCTCCCAGGCGAAGATGGTCAGCAGCTCCAGGGCATAGTCGGGGGGCATCTCCCTCCTTCTCTCCTGTGGGCACGCCTGGAAGAGGACAGAGCAGGGGGATCAGAGGATGAAAGGGTGGGGGGAGCTGGTCTCTGTGGAAGTTTGCTGATCTCTCAATGTCCGGGGTGGAGACCAGAAGGCTGAGCCTGGGATAGATCTGTGTTCCCAGCCTGTTCCAAAAGCAACCTGATTTCTCTCATCACCCTCGCTGCCGGGGATTCAGTAATGTGATTGGCTCACATAGTGCTGGGTGAGGGAGAGGTATGAGATTCAAGCCCCCATGAGGGGGGCACAGTCAGAGAGAGGCCATTGGGTAGTCTGAGACTGTGATCCCCCAAGGAAGAACACAGCAGAACTTGCCCTGGGTCACACAGCAGTTCTGCACTGAGCAGAATTGGCATCCGGGACTCCTCATCCAGACCTGCTTTACATGAGTGGTCCCAAGGTAGGACCAAGCCACGTGCCTTGAGATTTTGGGGTAGCCTGTTCCTTCTTCTCCAATCACAGGCTGAACACCCCTTCCCCAGGACACAACAGTATATGAACATTCCTGAACAGTGCTGGGGGGCGTTGGCTACAAACTCCACATACTTCATATTGTACATAAAACATTCCAGATCATTTCAAAGCCCAAAATATGAAAAGAAAGTCTTAAAACCTTTGGAAGGAAACACAGGAAAATACTTTTAGAAAGTTGCAACAGGCAAAGTCTTCTTAAACAAGACGCATAAAGCACACATCACATGTGAAAAAGAGATGCACAACTGATTACATTAAAATACAAACATTTTCTGTGACAAAAAGACC